AAGAATGTCAATCAGGGGAAAAATATGTGCGATTCCATTATCTATCATTCAATTTCATATTAAATCCTTCGTTGCAATTTTCCGTATTAGCTCTTTTGATCGCAGTTTTCAAATGCCGTCCACTAAACCGCAGCTAGGCCAGCCAAAAGCGAAGCAGCGTAAATCCGTTAAGGCGGCAGGACCAAATTGTTCAAAGTAAGCCAATCTTACGCAGGGGGACTAGACTCCTTTAATGATGCGGCAGATGTGGAGCCAGAAAACGCAAAGTGCAAAGAGAACAATGTTTGGTGTGTAGAATATATAACGCAATCTGGCTTGATGCCAATTGTCGTTATGAGTTAGTGGGATATGCAAGTTGTGCATTGGTGACATTAACCAATTTGGCCTGAGAAATATGGGAAAATAGATACTGCAAACTACATGTATGATAGGGAACGCGATGATCACATAAATGTATCCTTCTCTACTTCAAGACGAAAACTCTGTCCCGCTGACAACGCAGTGAGATACATTGGGAATATCCAATAAGATAATAGAGAAATGACGAGGATGACCCAAGTGGAAGATGAATAGAGAGATAACAAAAATTTCTGTTAGCAAATAAAAAGAGAATATTGTTGAAATGAACAATGACAAACCTCATCTTTCAATTCCCGCCATTCAAATCGCGATGTTGACTATCATTAAAGGCTTTTTTCCAGCTATTCAGATTGCTGCCAAGCCAATATGATGTCCCTTCGCAGAAGCGAATCCCATCTCTAGAAGTTCGGGATTTAGTCATAATGGGCCTAAATAAATAAAAAAGTTGCTTATTCCAAAAAATTTGAATAAGCTTTAATAAAACAAAGCATTTATAAAACCATGCTCCTGGTAAATGAATGCAAGTTCATCTAAGTCCATTTCTTTTTTTAAACTTAAAGAAAGAGTTCCTAAATACAAGAAGGTGAAAGTCATTCGATATTGAGTTGTTAGAATATAATGAAAAATAAGTTATTATTTTATACTGAATCAAAAACAGTGTCAGTAAAAGTTTTAAATAATGCCTCTTACTTTCTTTTAAATAATTGCCTAAAATTAATTGGAGGCCTTACATTCGGCAGAAACATTCCATTACTTGCAATATCTAAAGGAGTCTAAAGGCGAATGAGAAATTAGATCAACCAGACATTAAATACTTAGCAAAACCAGCACAACAAAAATTTCTTAGAGCAGCTGCCTCCTTATATGGTCAGATTCAAATTATCTTCCTTAAATCCTCTATCAAGTTCCGAGTCACAATACTGCGTTAGCCTTCTTGCATCCTGACTGATTAAGGAAGAATTTTGAAATCTGACATAAGGAGGCAGCTGTCTCTGAAGGTATTAATTGTGTGCTGGTTTTGCTTAAGTATTTAATCTGGTTGATCTAGATTTCTTCATTCGCCTTAGACTCCTTTAGATATTGCAAATGTATGGAAGTTCTGCGAAAGTAAAGGCTCCATTATTTTAGGCATTATTTAAAGAAGTAAAGCATTATTTAAAACTTTTTACTGACACTGTTTGATTCAGTATAAAATATAACTTATTTTTCATTATATTCTAAAAACTCATATCGAATGTTTTCACCTTCTTTGTTATTTAGGACACTCTTTCTTTTGTTTAGAAAAAAGGAATGACTTATGATGAACTTGGCATTCATTTACCAGTGAGCATGGTTTTTATAAATGCTTTGTTTTATTAAGCTTTATTCAAAATTTTGAGCAACTCTTTTTTTATTTAGGCCCATTTATAAATCCCGAACTTCTAGAGATGGTGATTCGCTTCTGCGCAGGGACATCATATTGGCTTGGTGCAGCAACTATAGCTGGAAAAAGCTTTAATGATAGTCAACATCGCGATTTTGAATGTGCCGAATTGAAAGATGAGTTTGTCATTGTTCAGTTTCAACAATATTCCTTTTTTATTTGCTAACAGAAATTTTTTTATCTCTCTATTCATCTTCCACTGGGTCATCCTCGTCATTTCTCAATTATCTATTGGATATTCCACAATGTATTCACTGTCGTTGTCAGCGGACAGAGTTTTTTCCTTGGAATAGAAAGAGGATACATTTATTGATATCGACGGACTTTCCTATCATACATGTAGTTGCAGTATCTATTCCCATATTCATCAGCCAAATTGTTAATGTCACATGCAGACTTGCCATATCCACTAACTGCATACGACAGTTGCATCAACGCCAGTATTGCGTATATATTATTCTCAACACACCAACATTTTCTCTTTGCATTTGTTTTCTCGCCCCATCTACCGCATCCATTAAAGGCAGCTATCCCTCAATGATGGTTATTTGAACAATGGTCCTGCCGCCTTAACGGATTACTGCTGCTCGCTTGGCTGGCCTTAGCTGCGGTGATGGACAGCTATTTGAAACTGCGATCAAAAGCTATCGGAAATTGCAAGAAGATTAATAACTGAAAATTGAATGATGATAATGGAAGCATATACTTTTCCCTGTTGACACTTCTGTCGCACAAACCAAACAGGAACAAAATTTATCTACTCCACAGCTTCACTTCAACGGGAGCACAGCAATTTGATTCAAAAGCTCTGGAATCAAAGTTGTCTCTGATTGGTTTAAATCGTTTAATTATCGATCAAGCTCAATTGGTGCGTGAATTTTCACTCCCGTGAAAATAATGTTGAGCACAATAGGGGACAGACTGCCTTTAACTTGGGCATAGACCTGAAGATGCCTATTGTTTTCAGTTGGTTTAATTACCTGATAAAAGCTCACCTACCCATTCAAACACAGTTTCCCTGCGATGACCATAATCCAAGGCATTTGTTTGAAAATGTGCTGACTGCATTATATTCTCATATCGTGAGTAGTAACGTATTTCTAAATTCACGAATCTTGCTTTTACACAATGTACTGACACTAATAAAATTTACTAAAAAAAAAATTATCTTTGATATTGAGATTCTACATTCTTATAAATTACCACACAAGTTTTGATGTTTATCTTTTGATTCAATTTCTTTATTTCAATTTGTGTTAAATAATAATCAAAATAATATGCTCCAAGCATTCTATTAAGTAATCATTTTCTTCTTCTTGCGTATATTCAGACATTTTCAGTGGCAGACATTCTTGAGAAGATTACAGAAGCCCATTTTAGGTGAAATAATGGTTTTCCTATAGTCCTTATTTCTTTGGTCTGAGTTTCAAGGTTTTTATTATGTCATTTTATAGAATAGCACGAAAAAGCGGAAACCATAGCAATTTAAAATGTACTTATCGTCCGGCATCTCACGAGCATTGTGTGCGTCATGATTAAATGTCCCAAAGGTAAGTAATATTATGTCTAGTGCGAAATGAAAGAAGATTGAGAGAATCGGATTGTTCGCATTTGATTGCTTCCTGTTAGGAAGGATGTCGCATTGATGTTGGTTCCTTATTAGAAGGAATGTCGCATTTGATTGCGTTCCTATTAGATGAAGGATGTTGCATTTGATGTGTTTCCTTGTTAGGAAGATGTTGCATTTTGATTGGTTCCTTGTTAGAAGATGTCGCATTGATGGTCCTTGTTGAGGAAGGATGTCGCATTGAATTGGTTCCTTGTTAGGAAGGATATGTCGCATTTGATTGGTCCTATGTAGGAAGGATGCGGCATTTGATTGGTTCCTTGTTAGGAATGATGTTGCATTTGATTGGTCCTTGTTAGGATAGGAGTATGTCGCATTTGATGGTTCCTTGTTAGGGAATGATGTTGCATTTGATTGGTTCCTGTTAGGAAGGATGTCGCTATTGATTGGTCCTTGTTAGGAAGATGTCGCAATGTTGAATTAGGTTCCTTGTTAGGAATGATGTTGCATTTGATTGGTTCCTTGTTAGGAAGGATGTCGCATTTATTGGTTCCTTGTTAAGGAAGGATGGTCGCATTTGATTGGATTCCTGTTTAGGAAGGATGTCGCATTTGATTGGTTCCTTTTAGGAAGGATGTGCATTGATTGGTTTCCTTGTTAGGAGATGATGTTGCATTTGATCTTGGGTTCCTTGTTAGAAGGATGTCGCATTTGATTGGTTCCTTGTTAGGAATGATGTTGCAGTTTGATTGGTTCCTTGTTAGGAAGGATGTTGCATTTTTGATTGTTCCTTTGTTAGCGAATGATGTGCTGCATTTGATTGGTTTCCTTGTTAGGAAGATGATGTTGCATTTGATTGGTTCCTTGTTAGGAAGGATGTCGCATTTGATTGGTTCCTTGTTAGGAATGATGTCGCATTTGATTGGTTCCTTGTTAGGAAGGATGTTGCATTTGATTGGTTCCTTGTTAGGAATGATGTCGCATTTGATTGGTTCCTTGTTAGGAAGGATGTCGCATTTGATTGGTTCCTTGTTAGGAAGGATGTCGCATTTGATTGGTTCCTTGTTAGGAATGATGTTGCATTTGATTGGTTCCTTGTTAGGAAGGATGTCGCATTTGATTGGTTCCTTGTTAAGAAGGATGTCGCATTTGGTTGGTTCCTTGTTAGGAATGATGTCGCATTTGATTGGTTCCTTGTTAGGAAGGATGTTGCATTTGATTGGTTCCTTGTTAGGAATGATGTCGCATTTGATTGGTTCCTTGTTAGGAAGGATGTCGCATTTGATTGGTTCCTTGTTAGGAAGGATGTCGCATTTGATTGGTTCCTTGTTAGGAATGATGTTGCATTTGATTGGTTCCTTGTTAGGAAGGATGTCGCATTTGATTGGTTCCTTGTTAAGAAGGATGTCGCATTTGGTTGGTTCCTTGTTAGGAAGGATGTCGCATTTGATTGGTTCCTTGTTTTTTTAGATACGAAAAGTACTCCAGTATGTTATGTTTTTGCTTTCCAATGCTATCTCCAAATTTTACAGTACTAAAGGCCATTTTGGTCAATTGTCTTGGTTAAATCAGTAATATTTTATTGCATGATATTGAGGTGTAGCTTCCAGCTAGAACATTGTGAATGATCCATGTATTTTATTTTTTCAGCTCTTCAAAACGAGTCAACAATCCTCATCTGAGAGCCAAACTGGCGGAGGCACTTGCTGCACTGTTACCAAGGAAACGGTCTGATGACATAGGCTATTCTTCTGCAGTGAGTGCAGAGATTATTCTATAGCTTTTAAATACAGATCAAAATATCTTGATAGCTCACTTTTTTTGGTCTTTGTTTAAAAATATGCTTGGAAAGTTTTTTAGAAATGAATCTGTGTTATTATCGATTCATCAGCTGTTGCCTAAGTTTCCCCTTAGTACCGTTCTAATCTATAAACATAAAGGTGTACTATACGACATCAAGCACTTCATGACAGACCGATTTATTTGTATGAGCTCATGCTTCATAAGTTGTTGTTGTATTGTTCATATTGAAAATGTCTCCGGTAATTTCCTATAAAGCATTAAAGTTTCGGCACATTAACTGTTATACGTCACTATTAGCGGTCTATTTAAGCTGACTAAGTTTTCTATGATACCCATCTGATTCATTTAGCGACCGATTTTTCCAACAGATACTTGGAGGGAGGGTTTTCGAAACATGCCAGTTGATGCCACATATACTCCCGGAAGCTCTTCTTAAGCTGTTTGTTGACATTGAGTTTACTGGCCATTCCTTGGAGTTCGAACAAAAATTTGGTATGTTTCTTTTTTGTCGCATCTGGTCATATGTACGTTTTTACTTTCATTCAGTTACTCAGAATTACTTCAAAAAATAAAGTGACGAAGTCAACAGAGTTTGTTCAATGTTTTTTGTTTAATTGTCAAAAAATCCTGTTTCAAAAAGTTTCAACAAACATAGTTTGTTATTTAACACGATAGATTGTTTCATAAAAAGGAAAGAGAAGCCACATTATTCATTTATAACTATATTTCGAGGCAGCTCTAATTAAACTTCCTTGCAACACAAATGATAACGTCACCTGGTCTTAGTGCTAGAAATCTGGTATTAGTTTTTTGTTTCCTTCTAGAAACTTGTATCCTTCTAGAAATTAATGTTTACTTTCTAAATGTTTTCCAAAATTGCAACATTGATGCTATGGTTCCCTCGAATTTTATTGTGTGTAATGTATAGTTATTTGAGATTATCTATAAGGCATTCTTAACATATTATAATTGTTTGGTTGCTGTTATTATATGTATAAAATTTTTCACAGCAAACCAATTCTAGTTATGCAACAGCATAATCGATAATGGAACTATGTTCACTTAAGACTGTATCCGTTTCATTTTCCCGAGGTTTAGTCATATCAATTCACTAACAACTTTTAATCATACAGTTCTATGCATAGGACTGTGTACATGTTCAAATATAATTTTGCCACACTATGCCATGGCATGTTTTATAAATTCGATATTCTGTCAACATCATTTCATACTAAATACTTTCAGCTAATCTTTAAATGATCTCAAAGGCATGGCTATGTCTGCTCAAGGGAAATAGTACTATGGCTATATTCCCAGATATCTTTTGATGGTTTTTCAATGTTTAGACTATCGTGATAAAACCAAAGCAAACGGAAGTAAGACTACCCCAAACAAATGACTTTTAAGCCACTTTATGATTATTCTTAACCAGGATATCGTCATCACATGTACGCTGTCCTCGAATACATCTGGAAACTCCCCAGCTATAACAAAGTATTTCTGGATCTATTCGAAGAGGTAATTTATTCATCTTTGCTGTATCCTATAATTAAATGTACATTAATGATACCCATTTTGACACTTGACAATATTAGTTGATGGCAAATTATCTTTTGATTATGTTATCCTAATTTCATCTTTGCTGTCTTATTTTTTACAGGGTCGTATATATTACTCAGAAAAGTCTGAATTTTCAACATTCCCAAGATTTATTAACCTGCTCATGAATGACAGTACGTTTCTTTTGGACGAAGCTCTTCAGGTATGTTGATAATTTCCACTTCTTAACCAGTGCTGTAGCCAAGAGGGATAGGGGCAAGGAAGCATTGTAGATTGCTACCTAGATGGTCAGCTAAAAACTTCTACGTATTTTTTCGAATCCGAATGAGGGGAACAGGGGATGGGGTTTGAAATTTCATCAGCGCTGTGAAGTAGTAATTGTATTGTCAGTTGTTAGCAAATACTGTTTTTAGTCGTTTAATATGAGTTTTTTTAAAAAAAAGTTGCCCCCAGGGTTAGTTTCTGGACGCCTATCTTACCTTCCCTGTGCCCCCTCCCCTTGACTGGATAAAAGGAAGAAACTTTAATAAAATCTCTTTCCTTCCTTACTGAAAGCCAGCACTCACTAAAAAATATGTTCTCAATAGAGCATGTGCGAAAGGGGAAGGACATTTATCTTATTAAAAAGAGAGCTTTGCTAGCTCTTAGGCTCGAGTTTTGCTAACTCAAAAGGTTACAAATTTAGGTCTTTAACGATAACCGGAAAAAATTCCTTAGTTCTATATTTTGGAACCCACCCTTAGCCAAAAGGGAGATTCAAAAACATTTGCTATAAGTAGGACCCTAAAATTTTTTCCAATCTACTTGTCCCCAGGCCCCCTTTTTCCTTTTCCTCCATTTTGTGCACTAACAATTGAGCCCTGGCTATCCACTGCTCTACTGAATCTTTCTTCTAATGCCTCCTATGTTGTGTTTAGGTTTACAGCTGGTATAATTTGAAAATAAACAGCCGTGGTCAACTAGTTTGAGCATGCTATGTTAAGTTAAACGAAACTGCTTCATTAGGATCCCTGTATTTCATCTTTATGCAAAGAATACTTTTAACGCATGTATTAAGATATCACACACCTGATGGTTTTTTAAAGCCTCGTGCGTAGAATAGTTTTCGTTTGAAAATCACATTGTCATCTACAGTGACGTGTCCCTTTACCTGAAACTCAACCCAGCCATTTATATGCTTTCAGTGATAAGGAGCTTATCCTTATATAAAACCAGGAATATCACAGATTTGCCTTATTTCAGAATATTGCTCCTTACAATATAAATCAGGAAAAGGGGCGTCCAGGTCATAGTTAAAGGCAAAGTGGGTGAGCCACCCTGTATATTGCCTGCAAGTTTTAAAATTCACCGACGAAGCACCCTTTAATGGCAAAAGTCTCGACTTCTAAGGTAGATCTTGATAGTGAAATTATCCAACTACTGAAAATCAACCGAAGTCATCAACACGTTACTGGCTACAAATTTGAAATATCGCTGTTGTTCTGATATCAACCTGATTCTTGTCATAAAGCCTTTTCTTCAAACGGGTTTAAAACTCACTATCGATGTTACTGATGTATGTGTGATATGTATTCTGCTTTTGACTATTGTTGTTATTGTTTTGTAAAGCACCTATCCAAGATTCGAGAGCTTGAAAAAGAAAAACAAGATGAAAATTGGACAAAGTTACCGCGACAAGTTCGTGACGAGGTACGCTAAATTTGAAGACATTTTGGCCTAGAACCGATTATAACAAATTTTCTTGTTGAATTTAAAGCACTACTATTAAAAACATAACATGCATCAAACTATCCAGTATGTTGAATAATTTGTGCGTAGGATTAGGCTTAGCTTCAGTTGCTGTTCTTTTGAATATAGGGATATCTCATTTGAGACGTGCTTATAGTTATTGGATATTTTTATCTACACAGAAAGAGAGGACCCTGTTTCAGTTAGGCGAGATGTCACGAGGCTATAACATAATGGCGAATGAAACTGTGCATGTATTGTCGTATATCACCAAAGACGTTACAAGGTAATTTCACGTTTTCAGTTTTTTGTAGGAATGATAACTCTTAGGTTGTTAGAACTTATTTTTTAACTAAATACTGGTTATTTTTTATACTGGCTATGTTTATCGTATGACCCCGTGTATGCATTGTCAAGAATCGAAAGGCTTGATTCTTATAAAGAAATACTTTGGCATTAGATCTGTCTTTTCGAAACTTTGTCTTAATTGAAATAGAAAAATGTTTTATTTAATTCTTGATCCACTTGTAGAGGTTATTAAAAAAATACTAACAAGGTTAGACAAATTTTGCTATGCATGGTTCTGTTATAGCAGTGCATTTTCTTGAAAGAACTTTTAATGCTTAAAATTCTCAATGGAAAGCAAAACTTTGATCAAATTTGAGCTTCCGTTGTTCTTTATACATATATTTGCAAATTTTAGGCCATTTGCAAGCCCTTGCATGGTAGAGCAAACCGCATCGTTTCTTAATTACTTTCTGATGCATCTTGTCGGGCCAAAGAGAAGAGATTTGAAGGTGAGCTAAACTTGTTTTAACTTTGACTTGAGATAAAAGAAGTGGTTTTTCCCAGGATTCTCGTTGTGGTACTGAAACTATTTTCTGGTGCATTTATTCACAATTTTTAATTTTCTTTCAATCTTTCAAATGTGTTTATTTTCAATTGCCTTTTATTTTACTCTGTTTGTCTTTTTTTCTTTATTTTGTTCTTTTTCGTGTTTCTCTAAGAGAAATGGTTTTTATAAACCATTTCATTGTTATTCGTATTTTTCCATCCGTGAAGATTACTTGTTACACATTGCATCAGTCTTGTCAAATTTACGCTCTGGTTGTTGATTTTCGTGTCTCATCTTGTTACCAAAACAGATTTTCTTGTAAGACTGGTTACAAATGCTACCTAAAGAAGCTTTTCCTAATTATTTATCTGGTTTTGTGCTCATTACAGGTAAAGGATTTCGACAAATTCCATTTCAAACCGAGTGAGCTTGTCAAAAACATCGCTCAAATCTTAATCAGTTTAGGTTTAGAAAAAGATTTTTGCTTGGCTGTGGTTTCTGATGGAAGATCGTACACAAAAGACCTATATGCCCAAGCTGCCAAGGTTTTAGAGTGAGTACCTTGGTTTCTTCGTAATTCTTTGAATTCTTATCCTGCACCTCTGTTATCGTAGGAATTGTTGCTTGTTCAAAAGGGATTGAAATCCGTTAAAAAACGCGAATAGAATGTCTTAAGTTATCACCAACTTTTATAACCCTTAATTATGCTATTTCCAAATAAATTTTTCTTGTTACATTTAATTTTTTTATGATAGATTTGTGTTGTTTAGACTTTTGCAAATTTGAATTTTGTCTACATAGACAAATTTTACAAAATGACAAAATTGCAAGTCATTATTTCGCATTTTGTTTCAAAAAATCTCCAAAAAAACATGAAAACTGATGCATGAAAAGTACTACCTCTGCATATTTCAGACAACTCAGAGTTCCTCACGATTTTCTTGAAAAGTTTCAATCCCTCGCTGCAAAGCTGGAAGAATGCGCTGACATAGCTAAAGAAGAAGAAGAAAATACCCCAGAGGTAGATCTCGTTTCACGTTTATCTCTGACCTCTTTTCGATGTTCCGTTTTATACATGACAGTGAAGAAGCGGGCATAACCCTAACTTAATGCAGATTTTCAGGATTGCTTAGAAGGCTTTTTCAGCGCCTACAGAAGCTCCCTTACGACCGACAGTGATCAGTCATCGCATGATTGAGTGATAGGTACAGCTGCATGAATACTTTCTGGTCAACATGCAATTTTCAATGCCCCGATGAATTTATCCAACATTCGGTTGCGCTGAAAACATTTTTGCTTAGCATGAACAATCTTCCCTTCTTCTTTATCTTAAAACTTTTTTCATTAATTCATTTTGAATAATTCATATCTTAAAACTCAGTAATTCATTTTTTCAATCATTTCTTTTCTTTAGCCTCCAGAAGAATTTGTGGATCCTATCCTTGGCACTTTGATGTTAGAGCCGGTGCTATTACCAAGCTCTAAAAAGATTCTAGATAAATCCACTATAGCAAGGCATTTGCTAAGGTACTTTTTAGGATGACGTCAAAAAAATATATTTTTTGTTATTTTTGAATTTTTACTATTGGTATATGAAGCAGCACTAATATAGAATATATCTAAGTGTCCAATTTCAATTGATTCTTTTAATCTAAATGGCTGAGATTTGCCCTTGAAGACCCGAATTTTTCTTAAACTAAAACGATCACGGAGTGATTCGATTGGATATTTGAATGTTCATTTGGCGACATCTCTGCTAATATTAGCTGGATTTGATTTTTTATCAAATGTATGCTTTTTTTAAAGTATTCTTTAAGAGTACATAATAATAATTAAAAAATTCCCAAAATATATTTCTATGACTTCACCGCGTCTTAACACTATATAAATGATTGAATGATCGCTTCCCGTGTGATTGATCAATGTTACCTTGGTTGTTTATATGGTTGATTGACAGAATATCGATTGATTTTAATTTGATTGATATAGGTGTCGAATTTCAGATAACCTGTACAAGCAAACAATCGAAGATATTGTAAGATAGTGCATCTTAAACAACTCTTGTGTAACTGCGTTACAAATGCATTAGAATATGAATTATAGATATACTGGGGAGTTTTCGCATATGTCGTGTTCCTATAGTGTCAAGGCTGCAAGTGCAATTTTCTTAAACATGTCGTGAAAGAAGCGTAAGCTGAATTCTTAATACCTTTCAGCGATCCTAAAGACCCGTTCAACCGGAGCCCATTAACACTGGATATGGTACAGCCGGATGTAGAGTTACAAGAAAGAATATTGAAGTGGATGGACGATAACGGTGTCAAAAGACCTAGTCGCTACACATCGAAGGACTGTTCAGGATAATAGAGAACAGCGTGAAATATTTTAGGCAGTATTATAATTGGTCATATTTCTCTGCAATTTTCCTTAGGTACTCAATATTTGATAGCCTCGGATTTTCCATCGAAATTTGCTCAATATCCAGACCCTTGGGAAAATTGCCCATGTGAATGGGCTTTAATTTAGCGTCTATAAGAGGTTTAGTTATTCCACTGGAGTTCTCAATGTGCGTAGTGATGTAAACAACATGTTTTGCTGGTAATATTTTTAGGCCATGTAATTTAACTCAAGGAGGAAGGATGACGATCTGCAAGATGTCTACCTCACGCGTCACCATATTAATTACAGACCTAATTCATAGATATAGGTGTCAACTTTTTATGCACCCTCAGAATAAAGATAATAGGTTGGATTAGATCAGGTATGTCCAAATTAGGCAGCAACCACTTCTAGGCCTGGCAGCATATAAATTACGTATTACTGAGTGAAGATCTTGTACGTTGAATTTTAATACCAGTACATGTATGAGAAGACAGATTAAGGATAATTTATCAAAATGAATCGTATCTCTTACCTTTACTGCGTCACTTTCTTTGTCCATTCTTCCCCTCATAAGCCTGAAATCCCTCCGAAAATATCACCACCCCAATCAGTTCCCACCTCTCTCTCTAGAGAAAAAATTTATTGTAAGCTTCATAAGGTCTTTCAACATTGTATCGTGATATTTCTGAATCTCTAGATGAATTATGCAATTCTGCTGATGGTGCTGCAAGTGTTCATAGAATCATATACTTCACTCTCCCAATCTTTCCCTAACTGTTGACATTACTTCCTGTAAATGCAGAACAGATTTGCTAAAATTGGATTTTCCATAGCACAATATATTATCCAATGTTTTCATGGATTTTTATGAGCAAATGAAGCTTGTTGAGTCCCTAAATACTTCTTACCAAAGCGGGGATGAGGAATATTAAATTTATCAACTAAACAAAAAGTATTACATTTGGAAACAAAAATGGAAAGATGTTTGCGCTTAAGAAAAAGTTGATCAAGTTTTAAACTGATTTAAACGACCCAATCACTTGAAAAACCAAATTTTTCACTCTTAAAACCAGGGCATGAAAGCCCATCCGACCATGTGACCGGGCGGTCGCAGAATATTTTTCATGAACAAAGTTCTGCAGGAAACTTCTTGAAATATACCGTTTTGCCAGAAGCACTCTTGTTTCATTAATTTTCATCAAAAGAAAAAACATGAAGAAAACAGCAAATGTAGGTCCCTTGTACAGGTTAAAATGGGTTTTCTACCTAAGAACCCTTGGGAATGTTTTTAAAATTACGGTTTTTGGAACGTTACAATTTAAAGTTTCTTTTGTCCTCGCGTTCTCACAGGAAATTTATGCATGATGTTTGTCTGGTCGCAGGAAGGGAAAAAATTTTCATGCCCTGCTTAAAACACCCCGATAGAAAAAGAAGGCACAGTGCCAAATAGTTTCTTCTCTATACATGTTTTCAATGAGCAGAATAAATGACGATCATTTTTTACTAGCTATCCGGCAATTTCATCAACGAGTCACTCAGAACCCTTGAAAAGAAGGTGTCTCCTAAACCACCTTTGAGAAAATTCGGTCTTTTATTTGCAGTGGCAGAACGACATTTGTTAAATTTCAACAAAAGACACTCTGATCATATGATTGCATTTACAGTGTATTTGATTGCAAACTTGGACATAATTTTTGGACTAACTTTGATTGCGGACAAGTTAATTTTAAGTTGTTTAACTGTGCTTGAATAGCAGTCCAAACAATCTCTTGTGGATGGTGAGCTATCATTCTTTGGACTTTTTTAGAACATGACGTACCTCAAGGCAGTGTGCTCGGTCCGCTATTTTTTGTTATAAACAGGGGGTACTATAGAATCTTTAGAGTAGGGATGTCCAGGGAACATTTTTAGCTTAACCTATTTGGTAAAAATGGCTTTGTAGAGTAAGCTGCTTGATACAATGCCTTGATATTTTCTGGTTCTCAAATTCTGCAGAATATGGGGAAAATGTAGAAAATTTAGTGCAGCCTCACTTTAATTTTCTGTATTATTTCTATTCTTTGCTTGGCTGTTTTTCTGTTCTGTTGAGCCCTGGCCGCTATATAGTGAGGTCGAGAGCTGGTTGTGTGACGCTTTTAGTTTGAGATTCGAAGTGAAGGGGAAAGTCGTTGGAAGAAGGAAAGTTGTTGGGAGAACGAAGAGGACTCTAGCGGATAAAGAAGAAGAAATTCTGGACTCTAGCGGATAAAGATGAAGAAATTCTGATGAGATATTGAACTATGAAGAACATTGAGTTGAAATTGTTTGCGTTGTAAATAGTTTATGGCAGGGCATTTTTTAACATACACATTGAACATAGTGGTGGGGGAATTGCCCCACCAGGCCCTACGAGCTCTCCCACCACTGATAAGCAAAATTCTACTTGAACCCCAGATGCCAAGCCAGTGTGGGGCCCTTTCAAAAGAATAAATATAATGAAAATGGGCTGGCAAACATGATGTTTTGGTGATATGTCACCACTACTGCAAGCTCAAGGAGTCGAACAACCTATGCCTTCAGTAGGGATGACATTCAGATTTTTCACTGAAAACGTTTGAATCAAGGAAGCATTAGAAAAGACCGAGCAGAGCGTCGGTTTAAAGAGGCAACCTAACATAGATTCTCTAAGGTTTTAAAAGCCCTGTGGCAACACCGAAAGATAAGGTCTGCTACGAGCTAAGCGAGCAGAAAATTTTTGAGGACCATGCCCTTTTGATATGCTGAAAATGCATTTCAGAATGTTTTTTGCAGTCACTTTGTTGCAATTGTTTAAAGCATTGTACTATTGTTGATTGATAATATTGTAACTTTGATTGATTTCTTCCTTAAACTGTTTCCCTTAACATGAAAGCCTTAGGGCGTTTTGCCCCCACCCCCTCACCAAGCAGATCACAAGGATTTGGATCGTGGCCAGAAGGGTCACCCCCCTACTCTTTTTCCTCATTTCGTATAGTGACTAAGCATTTACAGGGCACTTTTTTGTTATGCAGTTGGCAAAAAGGGCAACCCGGTAAATTGCAAAGGGGCATTTTCCTGGACTATTTACAGGTGTGAGGGGGGGGTGCACGTGTCCCCTGTGCTCTCTGTTCCTACGTCTATGTTTTTAAGAAATCATTTTTACTAGGTTCCTTATATTAAATATTCCATGAATAGTTTCCAATTTTGTTTATAAACAATATGTAAGAACGCTTTAAAGAGACTTCATGTCAAGTCTTGAAGCCTAAATTATCAATTCTAAAAAAATTCGATGTGGAAACAGCGTTACCATAATGTCACAAACATTTTTATAAATGTAATAAATTGCAAACAACGCACAAATTTCAATTCCACATCCAAAACTAAATTGTTAACTTCTTTTAGTTGATGTCCTCTAGTCCTTGCAACAAAGCCAGGATTTCTAGCGTAAGTAAAAACAAATAACAATCATAAGCAATCGTTCATAAATCCCATACAATTCCTTGAGGTAAGAATGGGCCTTTTTAAAAAATGCCCCACCACTCAAAAATCCTTAAAAAATGCCCTGGTTTATGGTATTCTTTCTTGTGTTGGTTTTAGATTAGCTTCGTTCGCTGTTTATTACAATCCCCGTATACAGTCTTATTCTATACTGAAATTAACTATACAGACATATTCTAGATCTGAATCTTCGAACTTTATTTTCGAATAACTATTTTAGGTATGTCTAGCCTGTTACCCTAAGGCGAGAGATACACCTAATAATTCCTAATAATAAGGCGAGATAATTCCTTTCCTTATGCTAGAAATTTGAGTCTACGCAGGAAAATTTCTCTATAGAAAATATCTTATTTACAGACAAAATCGAAAACAGTAAGAGTCGTCAAATCAATGGGTATCTGGGTCACCAAAAAAACTTCGGGCTTATCTTTATCCTAGATAGTACCCCTATCTTATAATGCTAGGGGTACTATTTAGGATAACAATATAATCCCGATCTTTTTACACGCAATATAATACACGCATTTTTTATGGTAGATTAAGCTCAGGAATAGTAATCAGTTTCTTGTTTTTTTAAGGCCAAGCGATTATTAAGAAAAAAATTTGAGTCGAGCGTTGAGGGTCTTCCAAGGGTTTTCGAGAACAAGGAACATGGCAAAAAATAATACAGAAACGCGAGAACAGCTTAAATTTTCCACTGGGAACATGGGAACATCATTACTACTTTAAGGGACCAAGATGAAATTTTTTATTTTTCAAAGGGAACACGGGAACAAGTACCCCTCCTCTTCCGGGAGACCCTCAAGGTTGAGAGTTTTCAGCACTGCGGCTTCTTAAATGTTGGTTTCTCAAAATATGCGTTTTGTTTGTTAGAGTTTTGGGTCAATTGATTTAAGCTGTCTCACCTACTATATCTGAATTTATTTCAATGGAAATGATACACGTATGTTTTTCGACGAGCCAAAGAGTAACGAGCCAGTTACACGTCACAATTGAGAAAGAGCAACGACAGAGATACACGTGGGATAATGCTCTATGAAAATTTAGTCTGTACTTACCTTTAGTTTGAAAGAGGTCTATAACCTGCACTGTCTGTTGTCAATCTAGCGACTGCCTCTCTGCAAGATACCTATTTGGGTCTTAGATATGAATATAAACACCCATTTCAAGTTTGCAAAGTAAAGTTTTGAGGCTTGTTGCAGCCTACCAGAAGGCCATATTGGAAAGGGAGAAATTCAGCAGATACTTTCTCAATAATAACTTCAAAGCCCGCTGAAAAACAATGAAAACTCAAAAGAACATGCCATTCCGATTCCCTTGGGCGTTAATCCCAAAGCCCTGTGGACTCGCCACGCTTCAAGGAATGCTAGGCCTGAACCAAGGGGGGACCGAATTTGTATATCCATTATTTTTGGATATTTACTCTTTCTCTGTTAAAATGGATGGAGGTCATGGGGAAAACCATTACCAAGAGGATAGAACAAGATGGAATACTGATGGGTTGCAGAGTTAGGGGCTCCTAGGGATTTGTATTGAAAGTCTGCAGCGGGGACCGGGCACCAGTTCAAGTATAGGAGGGCTGAAAAGGGCGTGACCAAAATTTTTTAAGCCCACGCCCTCTATAACGCCGGAAAACGCCCCTTTTAGAAAATACTGGCTTATTTCTACTGGGGTTTTATAAACAATCTGGTTCAGGGAAGATATCAATAGTTTTAAATAGTTAAATTAGATTGGGGATAGTGAAACATCAAAAAACACCTAGAAAATGAACAAAAAGGGTTCCCAGTCATGAAAAACTGCTACTTCTTAGGAGTATACTATTCAATGTTTAGTTAGACCATAGTTAGAGTAAACTTTCATGAACGTTTTCTAACGTATTATCGCAAAAAAGTGGAGGGGCTTAGGCCCCTGCTAGCCCAATGGCTGCGCGGTGCCTGGTCTGCAGATCTATGAGTTGCACAATACAGAGGACATGGGCATGGGCATGGAACATATTCTGCACAGGAGCTCGAAATTGCTCACTACGCATATATCTAGCAGGAAAAACTAACTAAATATATTCCTAAAAAATATTTTGGGAATTTGTTTGGGAAACCGGATCCCATGTAACTCCCCTAGTTCTACCGCTCTGATAAAATGGTCTAAAGAACAAATCTCTGGTATATGTTGATCTGCGTTCTCATACAAGCAACTAAATGAATATTCTGCAAAAGGGTTCAACAGAACACCACGCTATTCAATTTTAATGATAACAATTTAAAAATCTAACTTCTTTTCAAAATCATCAACACCTTTGCAACCCCCCCCCCCCCTGCAACCAGCCTTGGTACTATATAGTCCTTCGTTGGAAAGGGGTATTTACAGAAAACATAAGAAAAAAGAACATTCCTTTAGTGTGTTATTATTAAGCTATTTCTGTTTAATCCAAGCAATAGATTTTTGGGACAATCAATTTTTCTTACATTTCTGTAGCTCCTCTCTTTCCAATGCATGTAATCAGTCTTAAAAATGTATTTCACTGAAACAATCTAACCAACCTGCCTTTCAACAGTTATTGCCTTAAACAAAGTGTATTTTTTATTTTTGAAGAAAATATAAACCAATATCAAGGTATTCATTATGTTATCAGTATTTCTCATGGCACAAAGTAAGTAAAAAGGACGGACAAAGTTACCCTTTTATCAAATTTTCCTCTTGATGTAGCCCCTCAAAAAACAATGATAATTGAAAGAATTTCCCATGAAATAGACTGTGCATATCAGTTCAATCAGATTTTTGTTAGATTCTTCAATATAGAATACCGCAAATCTTCTAATTGGTCTCCCCCCTCAAAAAAGTCCCTCCCCTCAAACAAGCCCCCACCCTAGAACTACAAATTGTCAATAAGCCCCCTTAAAAAAAGCCCCCACTGCTACCGTAAATTCTCGAATGGTCCAACCCCTCCATTTGATGACCATCTGAGGTTGCCTATGGTGTTTTACTGAACTACCACAACAAATTCATACTTTTGGTAGTAATTAATTACTATCTTTTAATAATGTATTCTTAATATCTACAATAATTTTATAAGCTCATCCTCATATTAGCCACCCCCCCGTATATGCCCTCCTCGAATAAGCCCCCATCAAAAAATATCAAAAATAAATAAGCCCCCAGGGGGCTAATTCCAGGATTTACAGTAATATGCAAAAATTAATTGTAGCAGATATTCTCCTACCCTTTTGATCCTGGTCAAAATTTAATTCAGGCAAAAATAACTTTGACTGGGGCTATAAAATCAGGAGAACACATGAAAACAACCAAACTGTACAAAAAGCAATGCCAATTGCTGATGTTAAGACACAGATACAATAATCTAGACAAAAAACGAAAATCGATATTTGCTAGGAAAATACTTCAGGACATCTTTAATTGAGAAAACATTTCACTTAAACCTTGTCCCTTGAGTTCTTTAAAACATATGTTAGTAAAGGCAGATCAAATGACAAAGCAAAAAGTTAAGGTGTAAAAAACATTTATACTGCATACACTTGTCCTGTATTTGTACAAAGCAAGGGAAGTATGGGTTAACAATGACTGAGGGTTATTCAACATTACAAAGAGTTTGTAGCAAATTCCTAAGAAAATGCTAGAAAGTTTTAAGAGTCAATTCATTCTTCTTTGGTTCCGTGTTTCAAGATGCGAGTAAACTCTACATAATTGAAGTTGCCTTTCCCATCAATCGGTGCTCCTCTCAACATGTCATCAACTTCTTCCTCTGTGAATCTGTAAAAAAGGTAGGAATCTAAATAACTGCTGATGTTATCACAATTTGCAAATAATGAGCTGTTTGGATACAGAAATGAAGAAAGAGAGAGAGAGGACCATTGAAAATTTAAAAATTGTTTCAACAAATTGAAATAAAAGAAAGACTGTTGCACCCCAGAAATAAAAGAAAGACTGGTTGCAAATATTGATAGCACAACCATGTTAACAGTTTTTACTTCAGAGGCAAAGCACTACATGCATTGTATGTAATAATTTTTCATACTCGTCTATAGCTTGGTACACAAATTAAAATTGTAACATATATATAACAAAAAAAAGAAACTCATAAGGCTTATGAATAATTTACAGGGAAATTAGAGGATAAAATGTCCAATGACTATTGGCAATTCTGATAACACAAACCAAATAACTAATAAGGAACCTTTGAAAGCTGTCTACAGTATAGCAGTTAAAACTACAAAACATGGCAATAAATTGGCAAAGTAAAAAATCTGAAACTTTGAACTAATCTAAGCTCAAGATTCCTTAATCTCTACTAAATGTTTGAACTAAATGTTTTAACTAAAAAGCTTGTAGTTTCCAATGAACAGAGGAAAAATCCAATGCTCATCTATAAATAAACAATATTCCCTGCAATTAAAACCTGTTTATTAAAAAATATCTTAATACTTGTATCAAATTCGAAGTATGGGTGTGTTGCATTCTTAGAATGCTGCTTATTATCTTCTGTCTACCGTAGGCCTAATCCTTATTATCAGCACTTTCTAACCAACCCACCCTCCACCGGGCACAGCTGTTCACGGCAGAACTGCTTGGAGAGCAAATAACAGCCAGCAATGTATATTTTCCTTAAAGTAGACTTGTAGTTACCGCAGGAGCTATATATGAATTTGTTACAGCACCCGAAACTATATGTACAAGTTCATACAATTCGCACAAAAACAAGGCATTCAAAGATGGAGTTGATATTAAATGCCATATGCCTGAGGGACTCGTGCATGTTGGATGAATCTAGCATTCTACTGATAATTTACTGCAGCAAACTCTGCAAAACATTTCTTTACTGTACTATAAATTGGTGACACAGCCTGGCTTTGTGCTTCCAGCCAAAGTTATACATTATAACACGCTCCAGGTGAGCCCATCTCTTCACCAACCATGACCCGCTCTTAGGCCATAAACACAATACAACTGCGACCCACTGCGGCTGACAGGAGGACATGGATTAACTTTCACAAGTGGGGTAATCTTGGTAATTCTGAAAGGACTGGGCAATGAAACGTTTTTAAACTAATCTTCGATGTTTTACCTGTCACCCATCGTTGTTAAAAGCTCTCGCAATCGATCTTCGTGAATGAAACCTGTCTGGTCTTCGTCGAAGCAGGCGAACGCATTTTTAATAACATCTTCTGGATCTGTACCATTTAGCTTTTCTCCATATAACGTTAAGAACATGGTGAAGTTAATGGCTCCTGGAGCTTCTTTCATCATTCCTTCGAGGTAGTCATCTGATGGATCTTTACCAAGAGATGCTAACATATCGTGTAGATCTTCTTTGTCAATAAAGCCATCTCTGTTTTGATCTATCATGTTAAAGGCCTCTTTAAACTCCTGAATTTGTGACTGATCGAACATAGCAAAGACATTTGAGGTAGCTCTCTGAGCCCTCTTTTTGGTGGTTTTCGACTTTGTCTTTTTGCTCGCCATTTTCGATATTCTGTCTCAGTTAACAGCTACTTCCCAAAAACAACTACAAGCAGCCTACTTCAGGAAATAAACTTTATATGTCTCAGTAGCGCCATATATGGTTGCCCCTCCCAACCTCCCAATCAGCAAAAACAAAGTTTTTGTTAAACAAACAAGATTGTTTCAGTTAGCCACTTAAATGCCGGCATTTCAGAGAGATGACAAAGAAACAATCATGAGGAAACATTCTGCATTGATCTTAGCCAATCACATTAACGTGCCTCTATTTCAATCTTCTCTGACCATGTGAAACAAAGATGGCTGACGACTAAAAAATTCCAGCCATGTTTATTGACATCTGTCTCATCAAAATACATTTGCTTGCAGGATCTAACCTTGTTTCCATATTCAGTTTGTTTCTATATATGTTTTCTATGAAATAAAGACTTTTATTTTTGCCTTTGACTGTAAGCTTAAATAATGATCTACTGCAGCAAATCATCAGTAAAGTCCGGCTGGTCAGTGTCCACAATAACCATTCCATTTCATACTGTTTAATCATTCCTTCACGTTCACATCACAAAGAACTATCAGAACATTTGTTCGAATATATAAAGATCTTTTGTGTTTCTTGATAATCTATACAGCGGCACGGTCGAAGATTAATTGTTGGGGGATTAAGCAAAAGCCCCCTTGTGACAGGAACCTGCCCCTAGCAAATCAACCCCTACATCCTTTACTATATCAACACTCTGCAGGGAAATTTTGATATACAAACGAGGGAAAACTGCACTTCCAGCCTCAGCGACTTTCCATCGTTTGAAAGAATGGGCTATTGTTCTCCTCTTTACGTAAACAAAGATTTGACCCACAGCTGAATTCCCTTAGAAAAGGCTATTCTCAACTTACTAATTCTGAAAACAAACATGTTGATAGGCACAATACCAGACTTTAAGGTGTAAGGATATTATATCATACATTTCGTCATTTTAGGATTATGTGAAAATTACATATAGGTATGGAAACCCCTCATTATTCTTGAGTATAGTTATTCTAACATTATAATAGAAATCAATGGAGTGGCTAAACGGGAATCTATAAAAAGAACAAGGGGGCCCTGCATTAAATCAATTAGAAAACAATGGCAGTAATGATGGGAAGCAGCCCCGCTATGCCCTGGCTTAGTAATGACGTCATAAAATACTTATTTTCGAAAAATAAGCTAAGTTGGCTAAATCTGTTTTAAATGGGCTAACTTCACGCCAATAGGATACTGTCGTTTTGGCCTGGTTCACAAATCATAGTACCAAGACAAAATTAAAGTAATCTGATTTGAAAGAGTTAATGCTCTTTAAACTGATTTTTTGCTTATAAGGCAATAGTCCCTGGAGCTCTTACTATTAAATGGTCTAAATTCAGCATTTCTTATAACAAATATCATGGAGACAGTTCTAACCGGCTCTGTTAGGTGTATCTTATTCAATTAAGTCATAAGATTACTTCTAGCATTAATGATTCTTTCTCAAAGAAAAGAGTTTTACAGCTTTTCTTTGATAAAGAATTTTCCATTGTTGAATTTCAAATGAGTCGTTAATACTTGGCCAAAACATTTTCGTAAGGATATTTCCATTGTCAAACAATAATGTAGCTATGCAGGTTTTCCACAGGATGTGCCTCTCCTCTATCCCAATCTTAAACATGCAATGTTTTATCTAATCTTGGAGCAGCTGTCCTCTAGCCTCTAGATCTAACAATTTCATCAGTTCAAGATGCTTATCGTAACCTCACCATTGGCAACGCCTCTTTTCACTCAACTTCAATCCTTCCTGCAAGTTCCATTAAAGATACTCCACAAAAAGCAAAACCTTCTCCTTTCTTCACCAGATTGTCAACTGAAGTTTACCATTGGGAAAGATCATTTTGACATTTCGGAGGAGCATGTTTGATCCTCTTGCATGTGCTTAAATGGATTTCTACAGGCTTTTCATTTGCTTTAACCTTTCTAAGCTTAATCTTCATTGGTTCAACCGAGCGCAATTACGGCTAGTGAATCAATAGAGACGTTGCCCAAAAGAACAAATTTTACGTTAACCAACACCTTGGTAGATGAACCTGGCTAGTACATAACGAAAATATCAGCAAATGGTTACGTAGGGTATTAAAACGTAGTACTGACCAGTACACGCTGAACATGCTATTGGTAAACTTTAAAATTGTTATTATTATTATGACTTGCAATACACACCTGTCACCCATGGTCATCATCAGTTCCTTTAGCCTCGTTTCGTGAATAACTCCACTGCCTTCTTCATCGAAGCAAGCGAAAGCATTTCTTATGACGTCTTCAGGATCCGTACCGTTTAATTTTTCACCATACAGCGTAAGGAACATGGTAAAGTTTATGGGACCTGTAGCCTCTTTCAGCATGCCATCAACGTAGTCTTCTTTAGGTTCCTTACCCAACGACGCATACATATCCTGCAGATCAGCCTTATCAATAAATCCATCACGATTTTGGTCAATCATATTGAAGGCTTCCTTAAACTCTTGGATTTGAGACTGATCGAACATGGCAAAGACGTTCGAGGTCGCCCTCTGCGCCCTTTTCTTTGTAGTTTGCTTTTTTCCCTTTTTGCTCGCCATTTTTTCTTCGTACTCAAACACAAGACAAGTGAAAAATTAAAGCAAGAGTGGGCCAACACAACCTCAGGCGTCCGTCACCTTTCAGTCTGGTCGATCAAGTTTTAATGTTTTTCTCTTTTGTTTGCCTTTGAACTGGCTTTCTTGTTAGCACAGTTCCTTATATGGTTAATCTCCTAAATCACAGGTATGTTAATAAATGAATTTAAGTAGAAAACCTGTTTGCTATTAAAAAGGAATTGCAAATTATGGCTTAATTAAACTTTAAGATATCAGTTTAGAAAGGGACAGTAACTACCATCAAGGGTTTTTTTCAACCACATACGTAATATAACAAACCCGACAGCATCCAGTAACATGAAACGTAACGGCCGCTTGTACTAAGGCGTTGTTTTTCGTGGAAAGTTCCACTGTGGTCCCCGTCACAGTTTGGTTGAAATTCGACACCAAAACTAATACCAATTGTAGAGTTTACAAGCAAAGAAATTGCCATGCAATTTTCTGATAGATATTCCTTAGCAATTGCAATTGACAGCAAACAGATGGCACACAAGCACCCTTAGTTGGAATCCCCTAGCTCGGCCATGTTTTAGTTTCTGAATAAGATGTGTACAATCAAGTTGTACAAAGGGAGAGGATAAGAAAATGCAATCCACTCTTTAGGACGCTCATTCACAAAAAATCCTTTGTAATAGGTATCATTTGTATTCATTGAAAGATTATTCCAAGGACTTAAGCCTAAAGCTAACACCGACAGAATAATAAAAATATCGCATGGAAAACAGGATCTTTCATTGCGGATTTATCTTCAATGGTTGGGGATGATAAAAACGCGAGTAAATCGGGTTCTCATTCAATGTTACCAGGGTGTCAAACAATGAAACCAACATGGTCATCTTGGGGATTTAACTTGAGCATGCAAAGCTGGGATTTTTGAAAGAGGGTGAGGCTGCATACAAGGAGAGGCACAGAAATGAAGTGCAATGGGAGAACCAGCGAATTTCTTGTAAGCTTAATCTGTGTAGACATTTCAGTAGAATGGCTGGATTGGAAAAGGCATCCACTGGCTACCATGTCCCCATCTGTTCATAATTCCCTGGCAAAATCAAATCATATCGATATTGTTTTAGGCATGGATGTTGAGACTTCATGTAGCTCTGTTTATGTAGCCACAAGAGAACTTTGATTCAATAAATGCGACTGATTCTCACTTTTGGATGAAGATTTGAGGATATTTTCCATTAACATTCCATACACGTGCAAAAAGAGGCAGTCGCTTCCAACCGTCGACTATAAATATATCATAAGCCTCAGGTTCCTCCTAGATCATAACATCATATAACGCAGAGGCTTGCCTAGGTTAAACCCAGGCTCATCCCTCCTTCAGTGATGGTTTATTTCAAATTGCTCTCAACACGGGCAGGTTGCGTCTACACGATAAAAATTTTTACTAGGGTTTATTCAATGCGGGTTGAACCCAGATATACTAACAAAGTATAAACATTGCAACATAGATCTCCTCTTCTATTTCCTAGCCATGGTCTTGGCAGCCCTGCTTACTAGCGATGAACTTTCAATTCCGTTCGTTCGGTATGCATTCAGTTAGTCAAGCTCTAGGTATAGAGAATACACGTGATTTATCCACACTGTTGGGTATATACAACTGAAAATATGTTTTTGTTAAGTTATTAAATTGGCTTTTCATGACAAACGTACTATCTTCCAAACAAGAAACATAGAACGCTGTAGCTTGGAATTCGATTGCTCTTTTCTACAAAAATGTTGTTTTTGTTTTTTTGTTTTCATAGAACAGAAAAACAAAGAAACCATCCATCAAACAAACAAGTACAACAAACAGAAGAAACAAATCGTGCATCAAAAGGCTTTTATGGACATCTTTGTGGCATAAGAAGAAGAACTGGGCCAATCTGTTCTCTTTTCCAGGGTGTGTGCAGTGAGGATGCAGGAAAGAATTGCCGTGGCATGGCTAAATGGCCATTACAACCATAGTGCAGGTTTGAATGCCATATCAAAACTTGTATCAGCGGAATAGACGACAATTTCTGTCTGAATCACTGACACAAACATAACTGAATCAAAATCTTTTCCAATAAGAATACCCCAGCATACGTAGAAAATGTTGATTCTGAAATTATCTTATAAAAAATTACCCTGTTTCAATTAACAAGCGATGGGGCGATCAAAGAAAGGTGGACGAAGAACATATTACATATTATCTTTCCGTTTCCTATTCTAACAGCGGTCTGTTCTCTATCGTTTCCCATCGTTCAATTTCCTTTTCACAGGAGAAAAATCCAAGCTTGATGTTGATGAACAATTGGCTGACGAGATGACGTTAGGTGGCTTAAACATTACTGGTTAATGTTGATGAACAATTGTGAATTGTAGCCAATCAGAGTTGGCGTTAGATGATTTAAAATTCATTGTTCATACTAGCCAATCGCTGAGGTGACGGACTGCCTTAAACACGCAAGCAACCTCGTAAGAGCTCATATTGTCACTTTCTTGTATTTTGCTACCTAGCATCCGGAGGTAGTTTTAGGACACTGAGAAGCTATGCTTATCAAGCAGTGTCCTGGTCCTCCCTCTCGATGTGACCATACCTCGTGATTCCCACACCTGGAATTACAGAGAGTTGACGACTCTCCACAGCCCGAGCGACAGGGGCTCGAACCACAGATCTTCGGATCTTTAGTCAGCGACCTTAACCACTAAGCCATCATCGCACCAGAATTGATACTTGGTAGTTCACAACACAAACCAGCTCACCAACTTAACTATGCACTCGGTCGATCCACGAACCTGACCATTATTCATTAATTCAAATAATATACTCCAAGAGTGAGACGTAAATTAATGGACCTTATATATACCGAATAAACAAGCCACCGTCAAATCATGGACAAATAACACAGTCCCAAAATTCGTCCCTGCAATCAAAGCCAAGAATAAGTGACGTCTAGAGACGCACTTGTACAGGAGAAACCTCCATAGAGCAGACAGTTTCCTAAGTCCAAAATTTGTCAATCACATCTACGTTACAAATCGTGCATGCATTGAATAAAAAAAACTCTCATTCTTTTTTGTCAGCCTGGACCTGAATAGTGAATAGTGTCACATGTTACCCATGTAATGAAGTATGGCAATTTCCGAACACTCGTAAAAACGAGACAATAAATAGACAAGAAAACCTTTGCCAAAAAGAGCATCTTTACATTCTCAGCGCATGTATCTCCAATATTAGGTTTTTTGTATTTAAAACCAAAAACAGGCCAGATTACAATAGATTCAAGAAACTGACGATTTATTCTAAAAGAACTCATAACGACCATAATTCTTAATATGTAATACCAAAGGTGTTTGAAAAATACTTAGATACAATATGTTAGAAACAAATTTAAAATAATAGGCCTTTTGACGATGTAGCAAACAACAAAAGCAGGGGGGATTTCGAGACTGGGGCAGTGTTTAGCATAGAACGTAAACAATATTCATCGCCAAAATTTGGTTAAAGTGGTGAATATAAAAAGGCTGGCGATAATTTATAAAAGTTAATCAAGATCAGCATAGCATCACTTTTTGTTGCGAGTCACTCGTTAAGACCACGATGCGTCAAAGACATCATAATTTCTTTTCCAGTAAATTTAGCGAAACCCAAAAAGGATTTCAAATCATATTGCCATGGCAGACTGTTTAAATTTGGAAACGAGTACTTTAATTTTTAAAAAGCTTAGCACAAGATTTATGCTAGTATAAAAACTACTATGGAAATCCCTGTTACGATTCTGTCCGCGGTTCTTCTAGATTTATCTCCCAACAACAAAATTCAGATAAGACAATTTTCATATTTTCTTAAACCGCTATCTTCCAATTTCTGTTTACAAATGAAGTCATCATGAAAACGAACCAAACAAATATCGCTGCACATGTGTTTAATGGCTTTCTCCGGCAGTATTAGTTTTATGTGAGCTCGGTAGGAAACCTGTCGGAATCTTTCTATTACAAATATAAAGCACTTGTTCAAAGCCTTGAGGTACTTAAAAAATTCACCTGAGGTATCATTATATATCTGAGTCATGATCTGACAAGTCTTGTTCTTGTTCTGAATGTTCGTTTTCACTGTTTTTTAAGCTCGATGTGTTTACCTAAAAAGAAAGAGGGATGATTTCGCATTTTTTCTAATTACCATTAACAACTGCTGGGAAAAAACTTAATGAATCAACTTTTTTAAAAATAAGATTCCAGAAAAAATAAAAACGCCGAAGCCTTCTTCTCTAAATTCAATTTTGATTAGTTAGCCCCTAAAGGTAAGCCTCTTTTCTAACAAAATAGATACCAGAGTATTTTGTAAAAAGAAAAGGATTGTCACTGAGGCTGGAGAGGCCATGTCACCGCCCCCTAGTTAATAGGTTTAAATGGGCCAAGTTTTAGGGTCTACTTTCATAGCTATTATATGAATCCGTTGGAAAATATTGCAGCTCTCAAAATCATTTAACTATATTTTTTGGGAGGGGGCAGATAGAAGTGCTAATGACAATCAATTATGTATCAAACTTTGGTAAGAAAAAAACGAACAGATTTATCCTAAGAATATCTTGAACATTCATTAGTATTCTAGCTGTTCAATATACTGGTATCATTTAAATTCTGTCAACTAAAAAAAGACCCTAATATAACGGAAAGATACACAGGATACCTAGCACCATAAAAATTTAAATTTGCTCGAAGCAATAAAATAAGGCCAATGTTATTCAAAATGCTAATGCAGACAATCGACTTGTTTTCTTTAGCATCTTTGAAAAAAGAAAAAATAGAAAGGAACTCGTCTTGGTCCTCTCATGCATGTACAGATATTTCCATACAGCAATTCCAGTTTAATATTAACACTACAACTAATGAACCAACCAGCAATACAACTTAAGATAGGAAGCTTTTCTAGGCATTTTTAAACTTAATGACTGATAGGGCAACAACCCCAGAAGAGCCAAGTCGGTGCCCTACCACTCAAATATAAAACCATTGTTTTGGCCTAGCATCTACTGCTTTTCTGGAACCATGCTCATGAAAAGGCCTATTCGTAGGTCTGGCTTAACAAGCCGAATTTCCTCGAGAGATGTTCGAAATCCCGATGAAGACTGCAGCTGTTTCAAAATGCTTATTATCTATTTAGCTCTTTGGTTTTTTCAATGAGATTTTATCAGCAAGATACGCATTACGATATATTCAGACAACCCATCAAATTAAAACAATTTACATTATAATGACTATCCAAAAGACCATTAAGTACCTGGCAAACAAACGTCAATCACTAGCCTGGACACTTACTTTAAAAGCCATAAAATCATTTGTTGCTGTACATTTTGTGCCTTTACTTTTTGGGCATAACTAAATTGGATATATACTAATTTACTGTAAAACCATCTAAACAAACTTTACGTAACACCTGTACATGAAAACTTTGATATACTGTAAGATATCTGCCTTTTATCAAATGGTATCTGATTCCGAAAACGTCTTCATGACTTTTTATGTGACAAAATATCTACTCTTAAATACAATTTTGTTGTTTTCTCACCTCTGACTCCGCATCATCTGAATCTTCGTCTTCTGATTCAGGGGATTCTGGTTTTTCGTCCATTTCTTCATCGCTGGATTCTTCATCATCACTCTCATCTAAAATCGTAAAGGCTTTTTGTTAAAAAAACAATTTGAATTTCTTTACCAGTCACTAAATGTAGCTGAAAACTGATTTAGCAATGTTGGCTGTTTAACTTCACAAAACAACTAAAAAATAATAAGGGTATGACCATTCCTCGCAAATCATTAGCTAATTGCTATACTATAGCTATTCCTTATTGTACAAGTTCTGTGACGTAACAGGAAAGCTATCGTGCACCATGCTGCAAGCATTTGAAAGTCAGTAGACAAGAATTGGGTAGCATGTACCATACCATGTGAAAAGGTACCATGTGAAAAACCGGGACACCTAAAAGATCGGTATAGAACAGACTCCGGGTTATGCATAGATTTCTTCTACCTCTACCCAGGTTAAATAAAGGGTTATTTTACATGTTTGGTAAGTTATTTCAATTCTAAATGTAGGAGTGACCTAAGAGTGCATATAGTTGCATCAGACCTCCCTTAAAAAGTCTTGTGCCTGTGAGCACGAAAAAGAGGGAGATTCTATATCGAAAACAAAAAGCTGCATAAAAGTGTTAGGTAATAAACTATTCGAGGTGTCGGGGTAGTTTCAGAAATAAAAAGAATTGCAAAGAATAAGGATTATTTTGAGCTGTCGATGATCTACAAAATATGCAATACAGTCAGACCCACATCAACGTCCACCTTCCAACAACGGACTACCCCAAACCAAATACAAATAATTTTGTCCCCAATCTATTTTTCTGCGGCAAAGCCGTGATGTAGCATCTTTTAAACAATGTAAACAGGTTTAACAGACAGCCACCCTGGTCCGACAAAAGTCGAGAACATTGAGAATTCACTGCGTAGTATATTTTTCATACACTCAGTACTTGACGGCTGAACAGTTAAGAAATTTTCAATACTGGTTGAAAACAGAAAGAACAATTGTTTTATGTCCGGTGGTTGATGATGCACGCATCATATCACAAAAACAACTAATGGGTAAGCAACGAATCAGCTGATAATTTACGCTGATATCTCAGTATGTTTTTATTCAAATTGAGTTATAGTAGGCTTTATATATTCTTATGTTTTCTGTAACCTCAAAAGTGAAAAAACTTTTAAAAACTTTGTAAGTATTCAGGGGTTGCATTAAAGTTAAACGTTCGGCATTCGGTGACTTAAAAATAGTTTCGGTGACTAAGTCTGTTATAAAATGAAGGCAATGCTGTTGACTTGTCGTCAGAATTTCTCCTGTTCTGTACTAGTCCACTAATCCCCAGTCAGCAGTCCGTGTTTTATACCTGTCACAATCAATCACCTGGTCCTGGAAGTGTTCGCATACTTTAAGTAGCTTGAAATACATCACATAGTCGACAAATTTGCATTTATAAACGTCCGAATGGTCTCACCATTGTCTTGCAACACCAGCGCTGATTCGTTTACGTCAGCGACATTCAGAGTTGAGCTTTTGCGATTTGCCACCTGCAAACAAAACAATTAATCATTTGCTATTTTTATTTCCTTCAATTAAGAAATTGCTTGAAATAACTGGAGTATGAAAAGCATCAAACTGATATCAAAAAAATAAAAAACGTCACCAAAAAAGAAAATAGATTGTTTACATTGTTAATTTGTGAATAAATCATGACTCAATTAAAAACAATCGACAAATACGAAATCAAACGAATTCGTAGCTGTTTTGGGGAGAAATGCAGCGTCAGAAGAAATCAAAAAATTGATGGCGGGTTGTGTGGCTCAAGTGATACCACTCACGCGCCTCTTGATTGGTCAATAGTTGATTGACAGGCGACTCAAACCACTCAAGGATACGTCGTCGACTTTTAAGGTTCTTGTAAAAACATCTCTTATTCTTATCGTTAAACTAGTATTTTAATATTTCAACGTAAAATACTTTAACATCAAATATTAAATCAACGTCTAATTATTGCTCGAAATATCGTAATTTCAAACAACGTTTAGATATAAAGAAAACTTTATTTGTTTCTGCCTTTGACAATAAAAGGATCTTGCCAAGAACGTCCCTGCTATTTCACTGGTAGTTAGTGAGCCCCTCCTGTCGGGAGGTTATCAAAGCGGCAATAAATCATCAGTTTTGCAAACAAAAATATCAAACAAAATAAACAAAATATAAATGCGCTATTAAAAAACAAAGTCAAGCCCTATTAAGATTGAAAAATAACTACACTTAAAAGTCGAAATTAGACTCTTTACAATGCTATCTGAAGCCTTAACATATCTATTTCTGAACAGTTACTTCTTAATATATCAGAAAAACCAGAAGTTTTTTTTCTAAATGAGCTAAAATACTCTACTAGATTTTATTTTTTTGACTGTTTAGGTGTGTTTTTCACGACGCTCTCGATCCTTGGCGTGTTTTCCTTTAATTTTTGGCATTCCCGCAAGTACTCCATGTGCACCTGATTATCATCACACCTTCTACAAACAGTATTATTTATAGCTTTTGTTACGGATACTTGTGTTTAATTTTGCATATATGTGGTCAAAACTTGCCTAAGAAATGAAATAGCCAGAGTCTAGAGAGTTTGTATCGAGTAGTTAATAAGCACAAAAGAGCCTAACTCTTACTGGCAGTGACTGTGTTCATTTAGAGCCGACCAATCTTGCTTAAAGGCTCTTGTGTAACCAGCCTGCTTAGGGGAAGTTGTCTTGAGAAATTGACTGTGTCTTGTATTCTCATAGAGTACGATATTAGATCGGATCTTTGAACTATAGTCGCAAAGCATGCCGGTTGCGCAAGAGCCTTCAACTTTCTTCGACTTACAACACCATCTCACTCTCTTTGGGAATTGGAGAAAAACCGCGTTTAAATTTATTGCTTCCGTCTGCCATATGACAATAAAAGCAATCCAAACTATATCTAAAAAAGTGATGAATTCTTCCATACTTTCTCAGTGCTAATATTAATTGGAATGGAAAAAGCTCGATCCTGAGATTAGACAATCGACCTCGGTAAATGTTTTCAAGAAAAAATTGTTTTCCATTATCCGTCCACCTCCTAAACCAGTCTACAATGTTCATGACCCAAATGGCCTATCCATCTTAACGCAGTTATGTGTTGGACTCATTAAGCTTAATTTCCATAAATTTAAGCACAATTTTAATTACACTTTGAGCCCTTTGTGCCCGATAAATGACGGTGTTGAAGACACGGAGCACTATTTTCTGTTCTGCCATAATTATAACGTGGATACATGTGATCACTTCGGCAGTGTGAATGCGATATTATTGCCTCGTGGTCTGATAAATCTTTCAAATGAAGATCTGCTAAAAATCATCCTCTATGGCCAGGAAGAATAACCACTCGAATCAAATTCGAAAATTCTCGCTGCAACGTTAAAATATATCCAGGCCTCTACACGTTTTGAATAAATTGATGATACAAACAACATATTTCCTCTCTCCTCTCCTCTTTCTAGAAATAGTTTCTATTTATTCTTTTAGTTCATTTTGTATCTTTAAACTGTAGTTAATTTAGTTTTATATGTCGAATGTAAATTACCACAGGGTTGCTATGTATTGCCATGCTCCCTGTGGTATCGTCTGGAAAAATTTGTGTATGTTTTGTAAAAATTTGATGTGAATATAAAAGAAAAAAATATCAGTTCATCGGAATCAAAAGTTGCACTTCGAAGCAGTAGACAATATTTGCTACCCAAGTTGGCGGGGACATCAACTAACATCGTGTTCACCAAGAAAAACACGGGGCTGGATGAAAACGACCTCAGGATAAATCAAAGGAAAACAAAGCGCAAGTGAACTCACGTGAGTCAAAAGTAGATCCAGTCTTCCGTGAAGCTTGCTCAGCTTTGGGTAAACCTTGGTTCGCGCTTCAAACGACTGATATAATGTTGTCAGCCTATTCAGCAAATTTGGCATCTAGAAGGTAGCAAAAAAGAATATAAACCGACTCTTGGAACATAATTTTACTGAATTACTTCGATATCTTCAATCTGGTAAATATCTACTTTTTGCTATTGCAAATTTCTCTTGGGTTAAGAGAGTTTAGAAGTTTATCTCGACAAAGCTTTTCACACTTGCTATAAATACAGTTGTATTTATATAAAACCTAACAAGCTTAAAGCCATCACAGAGGAGATATGAACTGGGGAAATCACACATGCTGACAATGTAGGGGCAAGACGAAAAATGACAGACGTTAAAATTACAGGGAACTGAGGGGAAATGGCAAACGCTAAAGTTACAGGGAACTGAGGGGAAATGGCAAACGCTAAAGTTACAGGGAAATAGCACATGAGGGGAAATAACACAGGCTGACAATGTAGGGGCTAGACGAAAAACGACAGACGTTAAAATTACAGGGAACTGAGGGGAAATGGCAAACGCTAAAGTTACAGGGAAATAGCACATGAGGGGAAATAACACAGGCTAACATTACAGGCCAAATCGTAAAGGCCAGAAAAGTGCTCTACACAGCCTCATCTAGCACGCTCTCTAACCCCTTTAGAACCAATTTGAAAGCATTCCAAACAGTTATAAGGCGTTTGTGCGAACAACATTATAACCTTACCGAAATCAAGTAAGTTATGTGAACTGCCATCAGGACTCTTATCCAAATAAGTAATTCATAACCCCTGCAAAAAATAACTTACTTTAAACATTGGCAACATCGGTAAAAAATTCTCAATGTAAAAAAGGACATGTACGCACAAGGTCCTCATAACATGCCATTTGGTCGAACAAAAAGATGAAATTTATTGAGATATGGTTGTAACCATCACCCTTAAAATCTCATTTTCTACTCTTGGCCGACCAATCTCGTCTAATAGGGTGGTACTAATTAACTTGGGTGTGGATTCCGGGAAAACATGTTGGTCGACCAGTCCACTTTTCTTTGTCTGGACACACCATTCATTGAAACATTTATTTGGTGAAATTTTGACCTAGAGAAAAAATTTCAAACAAAAGCCGACGAAATTGTTGGCTAAAAGTTATAATAAGTTTTTCTGATGATTAGCGGTGAAGGGATGTTGACGCAAACATGTCATTTTTAAGTATGCGCCAAAACAGTGGGCCTCAAAATAGTTGAATATATTGAATTATATAGCAATAACATATACACAAAGATCGCTGAGGCTAAGACTACAGAGTCGACTTTCAAACCAAAATTTTTTTGCATAAAACCAAAAAACAGAAAATGAATTGAATAAATATGATTTTATGGTAAATTCTAAACAAAATAGTCTATTCTTTGAATAATGTCTTACCGGGATGGGTTCCGTTGAATTCTGTTTAAGATCTGATTGAAAAAGGAAATACATTAACTATTTGAAAATGATTTCTGTGGACTTATATTGAAAACTTTGGTTGGACAATAACAGTCCTTTGTATGGGAAGAGTTTAAGTAGCCTCTTTTAAGCGGTGTGCTTAAAACTTTGATCATTTGCTGAAATTGTGTCAAAGCCACATCATCTTGGCAACTAGCTGAATATAATTGGTTAGCAAAGAATTGAATAACTCCGAGTACAGAATCATCATCACTATCAAATCAATACACAAACAGGCCGAGTTCTCAATATTGGTAAGTCTTTATATCAATTAATTCTTGTTCGTTGTTTATATTAAACTTTGATAGGTTTTTCAGCAGAGGAAAAGCTTTTAGCAGAGGAGCACGAGAAATGGACACACATGGACAGCTAGAAATATTTGTTTGACCGATGCATACAATTTTGTGTAACTGCGTGAAAAATCTTCATTGTGTCGTACATTGTCGCCGGGAGTTTAACACAACTGCTTTACAGGCGGTATCTTCACGAAAATCACACATAATTCCGAACCGACATGCCCTTTGATATATTTCGATCTATTGGTAGGCCCCAGTCTTCTACGATAGGTCGTATTTGACATAATTCTTTCTTTGTCCTTGAGTCACTTAAATTCATATTTCGTCACTGTTTTGTTTACAGCTAGAAAAATGTATGCAAAAGAAACCAAACGACTCCATTGTGGAAGTAATCGCTAAAACTACTCATTTTACTAACCAAAGCTGTTAAAACAGCCAACGTGTGTTTTCAAAGACAGAAAGCATATAATTTAAGCGGCAAATGCCGACAGAACATCAGCAAAAAGCAATTTAGTTGAAGATTTACCTTGTTCATTAATGGAATAACAGACGTAGCTGTAAGCTTTTTGACAGTGCGAGTGATTGTTGTTTCTTTGTTCGTCTTGTAAAGCACGTTGTCTATCAGCTTATCGTCGTCGCTATGAAGAGCTTGTTCCAGCATCTGGGTCATGGAGGACGCATTTGGGCGTTCAACACTACTACTAAAATAAACAAGATCAATTATTAAACCAAAATTCAAATAAAAGCATTGCGTTATCAGTATTACACTTATCGTTTAAAAATTCGGCTGGCAAGAAGAAATCGCCTTTATGCATAGCATCTCTGTATAAATTGGTCGGATGATAACAAAGTCACGCTTCCTTTGACAGGGCTAATTCTATAACCACAAAGAACAGAGTATTTCATCTTAACACTTTGCTGATAAAGTTACAACATCAACGCCTAGCTTTATTATAAAGTCATTATATATACCTAAGGGCAAAGGTAGATTTTGGCTATTTTGGCCTTTCTAACTCAATATCTCAAAACCCAGCCTTCGTACAAAGATTATTACATTGACCAAATAGACTCATTATTAAGCATCACCTTGAAATTAACAAATCTATGATTGCAGCCAACACTAACAACAGAGAGGCTACTATAGTGGCTATACTGCCTGCACGTGGAATAAACATTTCTTCCTCAGCTTTACGAATAATCTGGATTTGCACATGATGATAAATTTGTGTAGGTCCTCTAAGCTAAAAAATACAATTTGATTTAAAAGAAATAACCTATAGTTTGTCAGCAGCTGTGTCGAAGATATTTCTGGCTGGGCCTCTGGATTCAACCTTTCGCCAAGTGTAGGCTGAGGAAAAAAAGGACAAAAGGATTCTCAAAGTTCAACATTCGAAATCATGGTTTGGTCAACAAATTATTTTGAGTTGAAAATCATTAAAATGGCGGTTTAATTGCTTTAGATATCTACCCTTATAATTAACAGGCACTGGGAGATACAATGCAATATGCATGAGCCTGGTGAAACTAATGCCATTTATAGGTACCAGCAATTAATGACTGACCTGGTGACAAAGACCCATATACTGACATTTGGTGGCGGTCTTATGTGCTTAATTAAATCTTATTCTTTTATGATTTCCAGGGGATTTTTCCTTCATAATTAGCTGGCTAACTAGCTACGAATGCTGCAAAAGATGACAGACACTAAAAACGTTTTGAATTGCGACACCCGCGCCTCCTGTTAAGCTGCCAGATGAAAAAATGAATTAATATATTTGAAATGAGATTAGAAGTAGACCTTTGATTTCTATTACCAACCGTACTTTATCTAATTAAACTATCAAAGTATACTTGTAGAATATATCAAACCTTACTATTGAAGATTATAATTTTGACTAAAGCACAAACAATTAAAAAGGTGCAAGCCATTCTATTTGGTTTTAGCCTTTAACAAGCTTTCTTAAACTAAAAAGATGTCCCAAAACAAAGTGATTTGGAAAACCTATTTCCTTGCATTTTTTATGTACATACATACACAAAAAACACTGTGCATGTTAGCAGGTGCAATTTTAAAGGAAAATGAACAAAAAGTGACAACAAATGACGGATCCTTTATTATATATATTTTGCTCAGAGAACTTTGCATAAGTTGTGCAAAACAACACTCAGTACAAAATAAGCAACGAGCCAAAAAAATGGGTAAGTCTTCTTATTCTAAAAGATATGTATATACATCCAACAGACAAAGAAATTTTTTGTGACCTCGAGAGGGGGGAGCTCGCTAAACCCACTATGTGTTACGTTATCTTTGTGCTATATATTCATAAACAAATAGGGGAATACCTCTTCAGGCAAATGATCGGCTGTCCTATTTCCCTGTGATGTTGCTAGGTCTCTTTGCTCCACATGCTGTATTGCGATTGGTGCATTCGAATCGATGGCAACAGATCTGTTGACGTCAGCGGTGCCACTCGATTTTCTTGTGGATTGGTCTGATTTTTTGTGCAGAAGTCCCTTAGTTGTCTCTCGTTTCAAGCTAGATCCGTTGGGTACGCTAGATAATTTCTGAGGAAGAAACAAAATCGATTACCAAGTTCTTTTAGGAATCTTATGCTAATTGATAAGTGATACATTTTTATATGTTTTGCATATATGAAACGTTAGTGTGTGTTATCAGCGTAGAAAGGAAATGATGCCTCTATAAACTACTTCGAGCAATTTATACATGCATGGCGATATGCGTTGTCAATATCCAATAACTCAACAGTTTTCTCCTAATTCGAACAAAATTATAGGCCTTCATCATATAGGCCTGTTTAGGCCATCAGTTTTCGATACTTCCAATATTTGGCAACTGGAAACGTTTCTTCGAAAGTTCGAATGGTCGCATACAATGTTTTAAGGTCTTCAAACCCTATAAAACGTCAAGTTACTATTGACGTTTCTAGAAAGAAGTAAGTGACAGTGCAGTTTTCTCTCAGGCAATTATGGAAATATTTGAAAAACATTAATGGCTCACATTACAACGGGCTTCTTTTCTTTCTATCGATCTAATGACTTACATAGCCAAATAAACATATTGATATTATCTTACATGGAGGTTTTCCACATCTAAAGCACTTACTATTTTCTCAAACGTCGGGTTGATCGGCGATCCATACACAAGAAGGACAGCATCACTGTCCAAAAGCTTCATGGCAAATATTCTTAATCCAGGTGCAGAAGTTTCCTTTGGAATAAAATAGAAACAAATCATTTTGCTGCAATTTACCAGCCCAATAATATTCTTGTTTCGATACTGTTTCATGTCGCATTTACGACATTACAACGTTTGACCTTGGCAGGAGTTGAAGGGGGAGGGGATCGAATCGCAGCAATACTGATAGACGACATAGCAAGGAAAACTAGAGAACTCCAGATAATTGTGATAGTTAGCTCGTTAACCAGAATGTGTATTGCCTATTACTGTTGATTCTTTAACCAGAGGCATTGACGATCAATGGTAGCTACAATGGCATTTGGCAGAGACTTTTACCTTTTGCTTTCAAATTCAGCAAAACAGAATTAACACATGACCTCAACTTACCTCATTAATGGAATTTACCAGTTTGAAGTGGAAAGCCGATTTGACAGGCTTGGTCAGCCTCCTGTGAAAAAAAATTATAGGCAAAATATTTATTTTTCTAAGTCATCTGACATGGATATCTTTTGGCAGTAGTTTGTGACATTTTTTTGCTCCATGACACTAATGTCAAACAAATTAACCTTTTTTGTAATTGCACAATACTTCCAAGAGGTTATCTTCAAATGTAAAAATATTTACAAAACTGGACGACAGTGACAATTTTGGTATGTTCTAGATAGCTCAAAATAACTTGAAGTAAACAAAAAGAAGTTGAAGACAGATCAAGGTAGAATGAATCTAAACGATATTCTCTGTAGTTGCATAAACTTCAGAAGATATTCTGGACATCACAAAAACAACAACAATAAAAATAAAAAGTATTTGTCTAGTATCAAAACAAATTGCCAGTTTAGGAATGGTAATAAAGAACTTAAGGGCTACTAGTGTTATATACACAACAGCAATGCAATACATACCCATTCAAAACCTGAGTAAATAAACAGACTTTGCCATCACGGCAGGCAGATCCAAGGTGTAGCTGCTAATAAAATTATCTATAATTATTCACATGAACTATACCTGGGTGCATCAAAATTACCCATTTCAAGCTGGAAGAATGAAAAAAGTAATCTGTTGCCCTTCCCCAAGAAATATGATTTCCATAACATTAGCATGCCTCACAGAAAAACCAGACTGGGAATAATAATAGCTTCAAGATAATTCACTTCAATTGTTATGGTTGTTGTTCAATAAACAAGGTTGCAATTAATATGAATCAAAGATGCAACATCTACTAGCAAAACACTTTCCTAATAAACTACTACATTTGTGGAGTTTCAGCATACATAACTGTTATTATTTGCATATCTAGACTTAAGAAACATTGCTAAACCATTATAGCAAATATACAATTGGTTGAAAAATATTTTTGACTGTGGAGAAAGTGCCTTGCTTTAGGCTTGGTGCTATATTATATTTCATCTTTACCATCACACCCCTTCTCAACCCTCAAGAGCAATAATAGCAACAAACTAACCTGCAAGCCACTGATTGAGCCATCAATGCAACCAGGGTAGCCTTCAGTCATAAAACAACAAACAGCGTTTGTATCTTGGGATGATGAATCATGATGCCTATTGAGAATAAGGGTACAACATCATTCAAGGAACAAAATTTTCTAAAGCCTGAAGCTTCCCACGTGAAAACAACAGCTAACAAAAAGACAGCATTGATCATCTTTAAAACATGATGATTGCTTAGAAATTTTTACCTGATCACTTAATTACAATGTAGAACATACATATTCAGAATCTAGGGATTTTGTAATCTGCTCGAAACACATATTTTTTATAACTGACCACTGAAATTGAGAGCAGCAATGCCAGGTAAATGAAAAATGGTCAATACATTAAGAGAATTGGTTTGTTTATTTGCTCAGTACTTTGATAAGTAATTTTCTATTTAGTAATATTTTGTTATTAATAGTTGAGGAATTAGCATGCCGTGCAATACATAAATAGTTATTTGCTACTTCTAATTACACAATTTACATTCCACCTTTTCTGTCGAGAAAAAGGATAATACATACAGTTGAAGCAAGTTTTTAGTTCTGAGCTACATGTTCAGCAGTAAATTTATGTCACGGATATGGACTTTTAAACAGAGGGGAGATAGGATTCCATCCTAAAAAATTACATTGATCACAAAAAGAAGAAGCACGTTGCACTCAACATTCTTCCTGGTGAAAAACTCCAACTCTAATAACTTATAACATAAATTTATGTTCCTTTTAACTGGTCTGCTACCCGTTTCTTGCAACAATATCCAAAATACCTATATTAATAAACTTGGTAAAGAATTAACTGTGCATGGTTTTAATCCTTCCACCATTCATCCTAAAATTATCTAGATTCTATATCATAACAAAGAAAATACGGTTCTGACATTTAAATTCTAGGGCCCTTGCCATGGATAACCACTGCACAAACATTATGAGAATGTAATTGCAAGTTGAGTTACCAGGCATTTATCATGTCATCATCCTCAGCAGTAGATATGAAATAGCATTCTTCTTTGAAACTTTTACCATTGCTCATTGGCACAAAGAAAAGATTGGTGACTGGACTTGCATGCCCTGTAAATTTCTGCGAGAAAATCAAATACTCTATAAGTAGAAATAAGTTACAAAAGGGCCTCAAAAATACTTTCTTCTTGGTGTCACTTTAAGGACAAACAATACCAAGTATAAGACACGCTTCTAACTTGAAAATGCAAAAATGAGTCTTGACTGCTGCACAAAATGATGAGCTGTAAACACACAATATCAAGGGCTCAAACATTAAGTGTAATAAGATCATGATTATAATGTTTTTGGGCAGTGTAAATTTTGGAAGGTTGAAACACATATATGTAATACACAAAAGATTTATTGACACTGTGTGTTTACTGTGTGTTATATTATAGACCATTATTGCTTAACTGTAATATGAGATTGTCCTATGTGCACAAACTACATCTCTGTCTTTTTGTATCTACTATTGGTAGGAAACCATAGTCAGCGAGTATTAGCAAAATATAGTGGAAATTATAGCAACGTTTTAATAATAACTTTGACTGGGTATTTTGACCAACCTGTAGAAGTTCCTTTGTTTCAATATTCCAGAGTTTTATTGATCTTCCAGCAGAGAGAATGCAATTACCATCTGGGCTAACAAGTACTTTATACACACAATGCTTGTCAGCTTTCCATTTGCTAGAATGACATTTTTATGTTACATAGAGTTTAATAAAATCATAAAATGACATGATTTGTTCACTGATTTAATGAAATAAATCTTTATTTTGAATGAGTTTATTCCTTGATTTGAAAATGAGATGGATTGCCTGACTGGGACTACAACCACAATCCCCAATAAACCAGAAAAAATAAAGTGAATGTGACAGTGTTGATGATGCAAGAGAAACATAGCAAACGCAGAAATTTTATGAATGTTGCAGATAAAAAAGGCTAACTGTTAGCTGTAAAATACCAGATACAATTTCAATTAATCCAGTAGATGATGGAGTTAGTTAAATACTGGAGCTTTTAAGCTTTTGTCAGCTGACCAAGAGATTCTAGAAGTGACTCAATGCACAAACTAAATAAACACCTTATTTTCAGTTAACAACTTTTGTTGTAACTTTCTTCAGTGTTAAATCGACAATCTCGAGGATTGTGATGCCATGACACAAATGGGGCAAAAACCGAATAAATACAATAGTGACCTACATCATCGTGATTTCTAAAATCCACTGTAGCTCCAACAAGGTATATTGTTAATCAACGAAATTCAGATCTTCATCTTAAAACAATTTTTTTTCTATTCCAAAGAAGTTCTACAGCCAAAAAGTAAAAGGGCAGCTTCTATGCACCATCAATTTTTTGCTGGTTTGCCCCAACTGAGGTATTGGAATTAGGTGTAGAACAAAAGAATTCCATCATGGTGGCGCAAACTCTGAGATGGTCTACAAGATGGGCTGAGTATTAGCCCAACGAAAATGAAAGAAGAATTTTACAATGGCAAACGAAGGGGCTAAATGGCTGTGGTTCACTGTATGATTTACCAAAATTGTACATTAAACTTGCTCCAGCCATCAATTTTACCCATTTTTGGATAGAAAGGGCTATTTCAGCATGCAATTACAAAAGGGAGTTGTTGTAAGCAATGTTCATTGTATGTTTCAACACAACATTTGCATCCAAGCACCAACAGTTGAATCTTGTCTGTTCACAAACAACATAACAAAAGTTACATACTTCAATTGCATATCAAATAGAGAGATAAATCTACCTTTTTACAGTCATCAAAGGGTATGACCACTCAATGACAAACTTATCATTTGATCCACTGTATATAGTTTCTTTTTTATCACAATAACATATATCATTGATTTTCCCTTGGTGTTCATTTACCTGCAAAATAAATTGGCACCAAATTTTTAGTCTTGAAAATTTTAATGAATATTTAGCTATTTAGCTTACAAAAAACTAAAATAAGCAAAATTTGGTTCAATAAATTCACAGCCATAAAATATCAACTTTACTTGATACACAATATGACTTGGGTAATTTGCTTTTTTATTTGATTCAGTAAGCATAACCACAAAAAGACTGGTTGGTAGAATGGTAGCTAGGAAAGCAAGAAACTGATGTGATTGAATAGTAAAAATGATGTTACAAAATATGGGTCTGGGCACGAACAAGGTAGATTTTTATTAGTAATGAGACATTTCCAAGAATTCCATGGGGTTCACTTACCGGTTTATTAACTACATCCAAAGTGTCACAATTGAGCAGAACCATTGATCCTTGCAAAGTTCCAAATACTATATGGCTTTTGAGCCCATCATTTGAATTTGGATTACTTTTCTTTGACTACAACAATAGATAAAGTTTCAAGAAAAAATGTGTTATAAAAATGTTCCTAATAACTCAGTTTATTCCAATTTATCATACATCCTTGTTCTATTCAGATCTATTCTTACACCATTTCCACCTGATATGGTTCTAAAGCATATTATCCAGTTGATATGGTTCTTAACCCCTAAATAACATCGGAAACTGATTCTTTTTATTTTTTTAAAGCACATTTTATACAAAAATCAGTGAAACACAATACCTAAGCAGAGCAAGAACATATAACAAATACAATCAGTAAACATAAGAACTTACCCTTATTCAGAAAGATAATAACCCTATGCAGATATGTTTTATACTTTCCTTGTAGAACATCAAGAAATAAAGACTATCGAACAAATATATTGCAGGATAAAACACATCTAACATTCCTTTTTTTTAAAATTGACCGATAAATTTGAAGTTTATAAATTCAAAATGTTTAACTGCAAGAAAAAGATTTTAAACTTTAACAAGAGAAGTATCGTCTGATTATTAAAAGATTTATATTTTCTCATGTAAAAACTGGAATGATTCAACTTCAGATGGTCTTTACATTTTAATAGTCAAAGCAGTTTTTACATTTGAACACAGATCGATCTTTATTTTAAAGCTTTAGTGATGGAGTCTGCAATAATTTTCAGATTTCAAGAACAAATCGTTAAAGCGACATCGAATTACCTTTTTAGCTTTGGGCCTGTCATCAGAGTCATCCTGTACCCAACACAAGCACGAACAAGTCGCGCCTAAACCAGCTGGGGGGATCCATTCATGGCAGAGGTTTCCATTTGTAGTTTCCCAAACTTTCAGCCTTCCATCTGGTGACAATGAAGCGAGGTTTGATGCTTTCTTGTCGAAAGCTAATCGGTACTTGGACGGCTTCATCTTCTCACATGTTTTTTACTACCATTTTTCTTTAGTTCCAGGCCACATGCGCGAGGGCGCTCTCCAAGCTCGTTCGTCACGACGGGTACTAATACGAGGCTACATTGACAGGTTTTGCTGAATCAACAGCATTTTGAAAGACAGGATATAACTAGGAATTACAGTAAAATTGCACTAGGAAAAATAGCAGATTTATTAACACTGTACTTATGAAAACAATGAAAACAGGGCTGAATAATTTTGGGTTTGTCGACACATCAAAAACCAAAGAAAATTATATACAAGCATTTAGATTATGATCAAGTCTGAGCTTTAATGAGTTCTGCAGATTTCTTGGGGTCTGAGAAATATTAGGACTTTGGAGGCTCCGTTTCCTTCAATTTTTTTGTTTTTTGGTCCCTAGATTTAAAACAAAACTTCTCGGCCAACTTTTCGTTGGACTCCAAAAGAAGTTCATAGAACTTTAACTAGATACAAAAACCTAGCTATGACAATGTTTTTGGCCTAGGGCCCCTCAGTGCCTCAATCCGACCCTAATCTTGTCATACGGTACCTACCTTTTTTTCAAGTAGCTACATACAACTTCTAAATATATTTCAGAGTATCTTGCCTATCTTGGAATAGGCAAATACATGCATGTCAAATAACAAAAAGTTTATCACTGTCAAACATCGCTGTACAAATGGAAGTTACAATACCAGTTACAGGACAATTTACTAAGATACTATAAGCTATAAGCTACTCTGCATACACTTAAAAGCGATTTCCCGGGGGTCAACAGCTATGACTACCCTGGAACCATAGTAAAAAGATAAAAATTCTCATTTACAAACTCTTAAAGAAAGAAGGGTAGGTGTGAGCTGGTCTACGAGGGGATATGCGTAACCATTAATCGAAGCATTTAGCTTCAAAAGTTACTTTATTGTGAGATCTAAAATTAGCTTGTTAGCTTTCAAAGGCAAATCTTTATTTCCATATAAAAGGATTGGCAATATATTGTCATCTAGAGTCTCCAGTTTTTCATAGGCTGTGAGTACATTATTGACACCAGCGAGGAGATTGCTTCTTTGTTCCTTGAAGGAGTTTCATAGCAGCAAAAATTGTACAGTGCCGTACAAGTAAGCGAAGGTTGTATGTAAAAGAAAGCTGTAATGAGGCATTATTATTCATTAAAAGGGAAGATGAGTTGCCTAGATTAATAATAGCCTTAGATTATAATTCACTAGTTCCATATGGTTTGATTGCATTGCATTTTATATTATTACGAGTCAAAAACAAAGAACCAATCAAACGCGATAAACTTCTGCTTACATTATCCGACGTTTATGCTCTGAATAGTGTCGGACGAAAAGTACCTAAGCAAGACATGTTTCCACTTTTCCATGCATAATTTAATGTTATGTTGTGTTCATTAGCATTCTTGCACTATATGCTCTTGCTGATAATGTTGCAGCTAATTTATCATTACAGAATCAATCACTGCATATTTTGGATTTATCGTTGAACAGATTAGTTATCAGGGAGCCTTGAAAAGAATTGTCATTGTAATTCAAAAACAATTGAAAGCAAACCAAACGTAAACCAAAACAAAACGGACAGTCAACGTACTTTGCGTTGTTGAAAACCTCCTATCCGCTGCATTGATGACGTCATGGGAAATTGAAAATAGCTGCAACTCATAACCTGCAAGTCTGATGTGCAAAGTTCTTGATAGTTTTTAGGGCAAAATAATTGCAGATGTTTTTTCGATTGACAAACTGAATGTCATTGACAAACTGAAATCACCGATAACGTAAAATTTCTGACGTAAAATGTTCAGTAGGGCTTGAAGTACGAGAGTAGCGTACAAAAACTAAAGCTCAGCAGATTTTTAGGTAGAACTAAAGGGTTTGGTTTCATTCTGAGGCTTCAGGGCGTTGTTGTGATCATGTCACACGTGTCTGTTTGAATATTTAATCGGCGTCTCGTTGCACGATTTCAAGACTTTGATTATGAAATGTTAATAAGTTGGCGACCGACATTGGTACAAAACCACCCAAATGACGTCAAATATAACGTAAGATACCTGTAATTGGAAAACACGCTGCTTCCGAAAAAAAGAATAACATGAAAAATCAATATCTCATAAATAAAAAATAATGCGGGAACAAACTTTTGCAGGAAGAAACTTTCGCAGGAAGAAGAAACTTTCACAGGAAGAAGAAACTTTCGCGGGAAGAAGAAACTTTCGCGGGAAGAAGAAACTTTCACGGGAAGAAGAAACTTTCGCGGGAAGAAGAAACTTTCGCGGGAAGAAGAAACTTTCGCGGAAAGAAGAAACTTTCGCGGGAAGAAGAAACTTTCGCGGGAAGAAGAAACTTTCGCGGGAAGAAAAACTTTCGCGGGAAGAAGAAACTTTCGCGGAAAGAAGAAACTTTCGCGGGAAGAAGAAACTTTCGCGGAAAGAAGAAACTTTCGCGGAAAGAAGAAACTTTCGCGGGAAGAAGAAACTTTCGCGTTTTAGATTGAAGTCGAGAAAGTTTGATTGGCGAAACTTCCTAAAATACGAAATTCGCGAAAGTTTATTCTTGCGAAATATCCAGAGAACTTTGCTATTGACCCTCTACTTTGATCAAGAATGATTGCCTTAAGAATTTTTGATAATTTGTTTGCTTTTTTGTTGGTATTAAGTGGAATAAACATAGAAGGAAACCTCATTAATTGAATAAAAAAGGTTTAACACGCGAAATTCGCAATTTCTATTAAAATGTGAAAGTGTATTATCGCGAAAAATCCTATTTAGCTTCATTCGCTAAAGTCAATTATAAAATTTTGAGCTTTTCTCAATTCGTGAAACATTATTCTCGCGAAACTCTCTTCCCCTGAAGTTACTCTGATTCTCACAAGGAAAGATAATCAACATGAAAAAGAAATTGAAAGATAAAATTATTTACCAACAAACTTTTTGTAAAACGAATAAACAATGCTTGCAAAAATGTTTCTTAAGTTTCATTACTAGTGCGCAGGCTTTACTCTTAAAAACCCTTTCATTAATTATTGCTAATATTAAACTACTGTATTAATTAGCTATGACATGTAAAAGAAATATTTGTTAATAATAAAGGGCAGCAAATATCAAACATTTTGGATATACTTCTAAACAAATTAGTTTTTTTGCATTTGACTTGTGTTATGGCGATGATTCTAACATCAGAGAGCGTTCAATGCAATGCCATTACTTGATCTCTCGAATGATTTTGATTTATACAGAATTATTCACCCTAAGCGACCAATAAAATATAACTTAGTATATCTGACACGACAGAAATCAACTTCGTTTCTTTAGAACCATTTTACAGCAAAACGTCTTGTTGTCACATTTTCAATTTTTCTCGGGAAAAGGAGATACTCGTATGTTTTTAAGAAACGATTAATCAAGCTGGTGTACAAAGCATCAATTCAAAAAAAAATTCGTAGCATAAAAATTGACCAACGTAAAGTTCTCTTAACATGTTTTCAATGCTTGTTAATCAAGTTTTTCTCTCTCAAAAGAGATTATTCGGAATTTCATGTTCCCAAAAATGTTGTTGTACACTTGACTGACACAAAAAATTAACTTTTGCTCAAAATTTTAGACTCTAAAAAGTAACCTAAGCATTCTTATATTTATCAGAAACTTTCTTAAGCGATTTTGTGTGCAGTACAGAACGGCTTTAGTTTAAGTGGCAACTACGAATTTCATGCTAAATGCGACCATCAAGCAAATTTTCTGATTCCTGATCAGTTGCTCGATCTATATTGGCTCGAGGCTTAGATAAATGCCCTCGCTTGTATTGAAAATCAAATAAGCCAAAGGCGAAGACAGCATTTATGCATACTGAAAAATAAGTCTGCAGGCGTCACCAAATTATCTTTTGATTATTCAGCTGAATATCGTTCCAACATTATCTAGTAAAACTAAATATCCAAATATCAAACAAACCAGTATATTTACTTAACAGCTAAGGTAACGCGACAAGCAGTGCACTGAAATTTGAACAGTGCTTTGTTTTCTGTTATATTCAGAAATTAAAAAAACACAACCTTGAGGGTCATCGCGGATAATTTTTTAAAATGTTCACCCTTTGAGTATTGATCAGAAGTGGGGGTTAGGTGAAGAGATGTACCAAAGTTTAAAATGTTTTGGGATGCAGACCTTTATGTTGTTCTTCGGGTTTGCAAGAATCTGAGAAAGCTAAAATACATTAATAGGCATCAAGATCTTTAGCAGAGCTACTTCCTGGTTTCTTGCCAGTCATGAATTCGAATCGAAAGTTCTTTTACTCAAAATTTTAAAGAGCAGTAGAAAAAAATGAGTTTAATGACATTTTATGTCTGATCTAGGTCTTCCTGACATACCAATCACTAGTCAAGCAGAATTTGAAGAACTTCTTCTTAATACCCAAAGTAATTAAAGCTAACCATATAATATTCAAGTTCACATTAAAGTTTTTGCCTGAGCAGAAGAGGTTCGCGACAACAGTCCAACATCTTGCGAGTACGCAGCACACCAAAAGCAGCAGTGGCTCGTTTTTTGGCCAATGAAAAGTAAATATCGTGCTCATGCGCATCTTTCTTTAACGGTTGATTCATACACGATGACGTTATACCCTAATCATAAGAATTTGGTATCATGAGAACGGGACCTACACCTGGTTTTGTGTGGTGGAGACAGATTAGGTACAAATGTAAATTTCGAAAGGCCATGATTAACAGCTGTTTTACTGATTCTAGAATTGCGCGGAAACCTCAAATCTCTATTTCTACTAGATGTATGGGAAGCTTTGACAAATCTGTTGCATATGGGATTATAACCATCACAGGTATTCTAATGAAAAATCTTCAATTTCGGTCAGAAGCATTCCAAACCGATAAGAAACCGTGTCAAATCGTAATTCCCGGACCATTGCTGTTCATGGAAACAGTGAGGTAGCGCTTCATAGTGAGCATAGTCTGTGTTGTCGGGTAGGCAGCCTATGTTCTATACTCCATAAACAAAGAAAAACCTTGCAAATCAAGGGTAGGGAGTTTTGCTTTAGGCTACCAACAGCTACGTACATTTATGGGACTGAGATTACGCCAATAAATTCAAGTTGGTTAATGTCTTCCTGCTCTTATGTTGATGACTATCTGCAATGACCCATCACAGAATTATAGTTTTCAATTCATCAACTTATGATTCGATGTAAGGCGAATAATGCCACAACTATTTCAGTTAGCACCTTCAACCTAGAAGGATTGGTAAATTTAGGGTGATATATTTTTTGAGCCCTCTCCTTGTAGACTCTGTCAATAGGTGACTCTGTCAATAGGTGACTCTGTCAATAGGTGACTCTGTCAATAGGAGACTCTGTCAATAGGAGACTCTGTCAATATGTATATGAGTCCGACCTTGCAAATCAATCCCGACTGTTAAAAGTGTCTTAAAATCGTTATGGTCTGGAGAAGCATGCCCTGATCTACAAGATACGTTTTACAGGCTATCTACTACTATCAAACACTATTATCCCCACAAAAGCTGTCTACAGACTTTCTACAGCTCAGTGCCATGACAACAATTGACTGTTTAATTTATGGCTATGGATCGATGACCCACAGATGAAACAAGTCTCAGAAACGAACTTCAAGTCGAAGCACATTAACTAAAAATTAGTAGTCTTGAAAGTTACTTACTACTAATCAACATTAGTAGTATTGAAAGTTCATCTTTAGTTTCGTAAAGTTGGCTTTTGATCTCATTAAAGGTAAAATTCGGAATGCAAGTTACAACCTTTTTGCTCTACACTCCAAAGGTAGATCGACAGATCGATCGATTATCTATAGTATTTGGTTTCAGGGTGGATCCTAACTTAGTTAAATATGTGCAGTCTACAAACATTTACGGCTTAGATGCTAATAAGCACGGGACCAGACTAGGAAAAACAGACACAAAGTCTTCTACATAAATTTATGCAATCTTTACTTAAGAAAATTTCCACCAGCGTGTTGAAATTAGGATAGGCTGTGTTCCATCAAAATGATCACGCTTGCAGTCATATTACAAGTCAATGATCTTGCATGCAAAACATGATAATGGAGTGAATGAGGTATGTGTTTTATATAGGGTGGGGTTTGTATTGATAACAGCAGTATCAGACAGACACTGTACTTGCGAATGTATTGTAAGTAGATGGTGCTTCAGTCTGAAATGAATTACAGATGCAATTGAGATTGAAATACGCGATTTTAGAGATAGTTTTGAATGAAACCTCTTTACAACATCTAAATACACCTGAATCTCGATTTCAGTCCAACATTATGAAAGAAGATCATTTAATAAATACAATTTTGTTTCGAGAAGCATCAAATTGCGTTCATGAGAGGAGCTGGCCCCTTATTGGATTATTTTGCTATAACAGCTACCTCTAGCGTGACGAAACTTGTTGATGTAGAAGTTAATCAAGAATATTTGTATAGGAATTTCTTCAAAAATCTTCGAAAAGAAGTTCACTAAATACAATTTTTTGAGCAGAAAGTTTTAAAAGGTTCAGTGAATCAGGAGCCCAATAGCTTTCGCACTTTCATGTTGGCTAAGAAATTTGTTTACCAAACTAGATAACACTATCACTCCAATTCTATTCAAGTCAGCTCTGCTCGATCCTAAAGAAATAACAATGGGCCCTCAACGAATAGATAAGTTAAAATCTGGGCATTAATTCTCATATCACATGAGTTTCAGCCAAAAGTGACCAGTGGTAGCGGTGGTGTGGAGCAAGAGAAGCAAACAAGGTTGACAGCTCATCAAATTATTTATCTCTGCAAGACAATATGCATTTGAGTTTCTCGAGTCTAGAAAAATTTGTAAGTATATTGTCAAACAAGCTGAACTGAATACATAGCTGAGTTGAAAGAATCCAAGATCTTTAGCTCGAACCTTAAAAAATTGGTGGTAAATGGAAACGTGATGCATTGAGACAACTGAGGTTAAAACATGAAGATATTCATGAAGCATACTTTTAGCTTGCCTCGTGACTTTGAACTAGAAGTTTCCGCTAAGAACCTAAACAGCAAAGAAAAACAAACTTCAGACTGCAGTTAAATGTTTGGTAACATAATTATTGATGTTCCAATAACGAAAATGCAATTGTTCTATATCATAGAGCTTTATTTCTTGATTCTGCGGTCCAAAAGGCCGCGATTTAAATTCTGTGCTGCTTTGCATCCCACCTGTTTAAAATTCTCATAAAATATGCATAAGGAATCAAACAGGAAATTACTGCTTTTAAGCCTTGTAGGCAAAGGCGACATGTCCTAGCATAAAGTTGTTTCGTCAAAAATCGACTCGCATCAATTTAAAACGTACACGCACGCGCAAAAGCGCTTTCTTGCCATATCGAGGTGAACAAAATATTGGACTCCAGTGGTTCTAACTATTCTCTACATCTTTTATACGAGGTGCGTTGAATGTCAGTTGATTTTGATGTTGCCATAGAAGAACCTGTTCTATTTATTCAATTGGTTTTATGTGTCTAATGTATGATCAGAACCTGTTGCCATGGACGTCTAATACTTTGAAGACAACATTGGGGTAGGTAATTATTACTTTGTTCAAGATGTTTCTAGAGTTTATCGAAGCAAAAATGAGCTGAGACGATCCAAGGATAGCTGCTCTCTTATCATTAGCAAGTAAGTGGCGCTATGGCTTTGTTGATATTCATTTGAAGATAGTTACAACTAATCAAACACTAGAGCAATCATCACTTGAGAATCAACCATTCTATCTTATATTTACATAAGTGACTACCGCCAGATTCCTCATAAATTGGCGGACTAGGATTGATAATATCACCTAAGCCTATCCATCGATAAATAACGCTCAAAAATCGATGAAGAAGCCGTTTATCGTCAGCGCAGCTGATCATGTTTAATTCGACAATGGATGAGCTAACTGTTAAAATAAAATTTCACTGAGGCCTAAAAGACAATCTATTGAAACACGAGCAGAGCGAGTTCGCATGCCAACAATCAAACTAACTACCGTTTTGAATGTTTATCAGCGCAGTACTAAAATAGACTCCAAACTTTGCCTTGAAGTAAATGTAAATTTTTCATTCAAAGTGTGTAATTATTCTGATGGTTAAATGCTGATATATTTTGGTGATATTTCCAGTCGCTTATAAATAAAAAAATTGATATTTGAGAGAATTTCAAACACTTTCAACAATTCTCAAATTCTTCCACAATATTATTATAGGACCTTGTTTTTCTACCACCGTTTCATTTTGTTCGTTAACGATGATCCTATTTACAGGTTTAATGATCACATAGGCATACATAAAGCTCTTTGCAACCCTAATACTTGTTTATACCAACTCACGATAAATCTAGAGGAATCATCACAATCTTACAAACACTTTCACTTTTTGGCAGAGAACGCGAATAAAGCAACGAAGAAATTGGAGTTACTTAGGTAATTTTAAGATTGATAATGTCAGATCGTCGTTAACAAACGAAGGACAGGACGATGCAAACACATTGTAATTGTTCACGCATCTTCAGGCAATATCTTGAAAATCAAAGCAATCAAGAAATTTGGAAGTTCTTTTCAAGAACTAAACTGGATTTTAACTCATCGTCATTAGACATTTGTTCAGAGATATGATTTTTCAAATGCCATTTCGGAAGGAGCAAGCAGGGCCGCCGAGAGTCACGCCGGGTCCAGGGGGGCACAATGCTCAGGTCCCATCCTACCTAAAGAAATGAACCTAAAGTGCGTTCAATTTGGATTTAAATGCATAAAATTTTCTTTATTTACTTTTGATTTATTTTCGTCAAATTTTCCAAATACATATATGATTTGTAATTACCATGTGATTAAGCGCCAAATTCAAAAAAGAAACGCTATAATCAACAACGGGCCTCTCTTTGCTTACATGGGCAACTGCCCCCTTTGCGCCCCTTTTGATGGGCCTGGGAGTAAGTGCTCATTCTAAGTAAAAGTTCAACTGCCACACTGCACTTATTGCCAGAACTTCTTGGTGGCTGAGTGACAATGACACATGCCCTTCTAAAAGTCGTTTCCCTAATGTTATAACTGCGTCCTACGTTTTTGCCTTTGGCGACCATTTGACAACATTTCACTTCGACATCAACCCATTTAACCACTAAAGATGCCATATAAACACATATAAATCATGATGAGCATTGTCTTGAAAGTTTTGGTCTCGGATCGGACTAAGTGCCTATTATTTGTGCGTACAATAACATGCATGTATTTTTTTTAACTAAGGTCAACAAACAAAGCTGATTCAAACATGAACAACTGCTTTGTTGAAGTTAAGTTTTATTGATGTCTACACACATTATGGCGACAAAGAGCAGATGCATGCGAGCTTCGGGGCGCATATATTAAAAGTAACATATTGCTTGCGAGCTGATAATCTCAGGTGTCAAGATTTTCATTGTATAGGAGCGAAGTTTGATGGCAAAATTCCTTGTGTGAATTCGCTTGTATCAATGAAGATTGTTGCCAAGAGAAACCCAACAACATCAGTTCAAAGCAGCGGCCGTCTTTCTCAGCTGTACGACCTGTCTATCTATGATGAGACCTTTGTGTGTCGGAAAGGGATAAGAAGGTTATTGGAATGATTTCTTCTATGTGGATCAACGATATTTGACGAAGAAGAATATCCTACATTCGCGGAACGGAAATTGTAACATTAATAGTTATAGATTACTCATCAAAGCCTGATAAACTTCAGCACCCTAAAATGATAAGAGCAATTGACTTCTAACTTCAGATTTAGTTTTTGAAAGTGTACAAGGAATTTTAAGAAAGGTGATTGTTACGCGACAATAATGAGAAAATATATTTTTATGTTGATGACTTCATCAGTAGATCGATAGTGATTGAGCGCGGTGGCATTCACGCAAGGTTTTTGAGCGATTAGATCACAACCGCAGTTGCTACCAGTCAGTTGTATTTACTTGATGACGAGGTCTGCATTAATTTAATGCATGGTGTCTGGGCTAACCTGAAACCTGTCGACAGGTTCAATTCATAACCTTCTCCGTAAACCATTTGAATGATTTTTTAGTATTATAGGATATATGATAAATACCAAACCCATGCTAAGTATTGTTGACCGTTTGTTCTTTCTCCATTATACTGTATCGAATCTTTCATGAATTAGAACCTAAAAACATTTGCATACACGTATGTGTTATCAACCACCAACAAATTTTACTGCATTGGCCCCATTTCTGTAAAGCCTTAGATTTTGCAAGTGAATATTACTTTTCAGCTGTGCCCATTAGATGAAAGAAACAATATGGTTGTCAAAAGGACTCGTAAACTCCTCCCTTATTTACAAAAGCCACTTTTAAATATCCGTTTTATTGTTCTACAGCTGCACTGTATCATTCAAGATAGTTTAATCAATCATACTGTTGGCAAAGCTGAGCTTTAGTTCACTCAGACTTCATCGACTTCATACTATCTTCTTCATCGTCTGCTTGATTCATCTTCGTATAATCTAAGGACTAATTCGTTTATAACCAAAAGCAAAACACAGTAATTTATTGGTTTAGTGACAATTTCAAGTTCAGACAGAACTGGAACAGTAATCCACAAATCAAGATTAGCCAACAACCTTTCGACATTATCAAACTATATAATCTCATTTAAAAGTGATATAAAGAAAACATTTGCAGATTCATACTTTCAACATGTAGGCTAGGTATAGATAATTCATAACTGCATATCACTTTATATTTATGTTTTAGTGCGATTTAGTTTTAGCCCTGGTGATCTCTTTATCTAAATGAATATCCTGAAGAGTGAGTTATTCATTCACGAAACAGTTTTGTAGCGATTAAACATGTAGTTTTATTTCTTCAACTCCAAACTATATCACGCTCTACGTGCAAACGTTTTGAGCACTGTACTACAGAAGTATCAAAGTACAAACTTCTATATATGTATAATGTAAATATCAAAAACTTGAATGTATAACCTTGTTTTCATTAGCTAATTACCTTTTATATGTTGATATATTACCAACTTAAAAAGAAATGCAAAAACGCATGTCACTGGGCTAATATTAATAGAATCATTTTGCATTAGTTAATACATCAAACTCCAGGACTCTCTAGCCCGCTGATAGGATACTCCTGTGAAAAAGTAGCTAATTCCACAAGTTAGAAAACTTGCGGGCAGTAATGTGGTAGCCTGGGTGCATGTTGTTCCCCACATTCCTTCATAAACAATTAGATATGTCCCTATAATAAAACACGATACTCTTTTTCTGTCAAGTCACATCGTTTTTTAAGACTTTTCTATCTCCTTACCTTTTGGACTGACGTTGTTCGCTGAGATGCTTCTGCAAATCGATGAACAATTTCCCCAAACAAAACGGAGGGTATCAATTGTCGATAATCCTTTGCAAACTGAAAAAACCCCTAGTCTTGTTCCTACCCTTAACAAAAAAGCAAGAACGACCAATCGTTTGATGATAGTCATTCTGTGGATCAAAAGAAAAATAATAATACCAGCAGAGAATACAAGAGACCAGAGTCAGGAAAACATTACGGTCGAATGGCCAAGGATCGGAGGAAGGTCCATGAAAAACAAAAGAAGCTCCTATGACACACCCAAGCCACGCCCATTTTTAATTGTTTTGTGAGGAAGGTTTGCCTTCTTCTGAGAAAGGTTAACAACTTTTCTGGACTCTGCGACAGGCATGCTCCATTTGACATTGCTCAGCTTCATTGATTTGACAAGGAAAAAGTCTGTAATATAATATAATGTACTTTTGTTTTTTGCTCTAGATACCTATTTGCTTCTATCGAACTGCACTTAATGAAACCTGAGCCTTGAGAATTAGCAGTACCTAGGTAGCTGCTTACAAAAGAGACTAAAGATGGGCAGTGGAAGCTCAAAACAGAAGGCCCAAAAAGAAGGGGGTAAAACCTATCTGATCCACACAGTCGAAGAACATACAGCGGGGGTTAACTGCATGGCAATCACCCCGAATGGGTCAAAAATTCTTACTGGCTCTGAAGATACGACAATACGTGTCTTTGATACACAAAACTTGGAGACAAGCAGCGTACTGAAAGGACATGAGAAATACATAAACTGTGTTGTTTGCAGTGATAAATACGTGTATTCAGCCTCTGCTGACAAAACAATCCGTAAATGGAATATAGAAACAGGACTTTGCGTGAAAACGTTTCGAGGTCATACAGACGCGGTCAATAAGCTAGTACTTATGGGTAACGCGTTGTTCTCTAGTGGTTACGACAGCACGATACGTGGTTGGGAAGTCGATACTGGCGAGCTATTACGCGTATTTCAAGGCCACAAAAGATTAGTGAATTCGTTGGTTTACGTTCCAAGTGACGTAACTAAGGACAAGGATTTTAACTTCGCAGAACTGGATCAAAATGATGATAGTTTAATTAGCGGCAGTGCTGACTGCACGGCAAAATTATGGGCGCTGAATTCAAGCGAATGTGTGCTGACATATCGAGGCCATAGTCAACCAGTGCTCTGCCTTACTGTCGATGCTACAGGGAATCATCTGTACACAGGGAGCCAAGATAACACCATAAGGGCCTGGGAAGTGATGACCGGCAAGTGTCTGCGGACATTTACCGGACACCAATCGTCTATCATCCAAATAGAGGTAAGAAGATAGAAATCATCATATTGTTGCTAAATAGCAAAGAGGTGAAGGGTGAAAAGTAGGGCAAAGCCCCTGAATGAATTTATGGTTTGATTCGTACAAAATACTCGGTCAAAGAGGTTAAGGGTTATCCATTAGTGGTAGAACCATTTTAGGTTAAGGGTTATCCATTAGTGGTAGAAGTCAACAACGACGCCTTTCGGCAAGTGCAAGAACGGTTTTGTATTCGTAAATTCAATCAATCTAATCAAAAGCATGCAATTTAATTTTCCTTGACAGGCCTGATAATAACTTTAAATTATGCGAATACTTGATTAAATAGCAATATTTCTCAAACCGTAATCACCTTTAAAACTTAATGTTTTATTAATCGCCAAGTAAAATACCAAACAGGTGTTAGAATTCAATTTTAAAAGGAAATTTACATTTTCAAAACTTAACACTGTTGTTCAATGAGATAGATGAAAAAGCCTAAAGCTGAATGGCTGCTGGAAAACTGTTCTAGAGCGGATTTCAGAAACCTGAAAGCATTTTTCAAAACTGGCGATTAATATGTTAAGTTAGAAAGTTGGTAGGGGTGGAGTATGTAATTGGTTGTTGTTCTAAAGGTTCTGGGATCTTTTTGAATAGCTTGCTAGCCACCAGTGTCTTGCAAGCTGAGTTTTTAAGTGGTCCATACATGATAGAGCTCGCACTACACAGTGATATGGTACCTTTCTAATAATTCGGAACAGGCCTGATCATACCCTATTCGTACACACTCTTTTTTATAAGAACAATTTGATAAGAACGTGAGCGTCAAAATTAGTCAAAATTAAGGAACAAATTAAGAACATTCTGAGGCTTAACTACTGTAAAATATATTCTAGAACAATGTTTTATCTCAAAAACGAGGAGTTTTCTAGCCATCTATGGGTGCTTTTTCAATTCGTCGGCAAATAAAGGATGTCTCACTCACTTTGTTGGCAAATGAGGCCTGAACACCTCCCTAGAACGAGAAAGCCAGCAATAGCACTGCTAACATCATAATAATTTGAAAACAAATTTAGAACAATCCAGCCTCAAATAGTCAAAAATATTAAGAACAGCCAGCCTGATTTTCAATTTACTGGCTCTTATAAAAAAAGAGTGTACCTCGTTTTTGTCTTGTCTTTAACTTAAGCCCCCTGATGTTACAACTGGTTTATACATCCCCTTTTTGATGTCAACAATAACTTCATATTAGCTTTAAATCTATATCATAAAAAAGTGATTTTTCTTTTCATTCCTGATCAGGTTGTCAATCGAATACTGTTCTCGGGCAGTGCTGACCACACGGCTCGTTGCTGGGTTATCGATTACGGCGACTGCACAAGGAGATACACCGGACACAAACATTGCGTTAAGACGATGCTTGTGGCAGCAGGAATCCGTAAGTGCTTTAAACTGCTTTCAGACAAATCTTTCAAGCAGTATAAACATTATCAACAGCAAATACTATTGAACACGTGCCGTATTCTTACATTTTGAGAAAGAGGCTGGCATACTTTTTGATAAGAAGGCTAGTCACTTCAATTGTTGATTGATGTCCCTTTTTAGTCTTTTCTAAGAAGTACCTGCCTATATCAAGCATGGAGACTTAGAGCCAGCTTAAAAATCTCCACGTTAAACAGTATAAACACAAAAGGAAAAGTAAAATACAACCAGCAACTATTAAGAAAGCTGGCGTATACGTAAGCAGGTTTTTCTGCTTTCGTATATGTTTATTTGCAGCGCTATGCCATAATGATATTGCATGTGCAGAGACACAAACACCAAATAGCTGATATGAAAACTTTAAAGGTCTCAGTACTGATTTTATCAACACAATATAGCTAATGTTCTTTTCTCTCATTTGTAATATTTTTAAAGATTATATTATAACGCAAGTTGAATAGCCACAACCATTGTGGATACACTCACAAAACCCTATATGTGTATAAAGATTATTAAATACAATAAAACTGAGACAAGGGATCGTAGAAATGACAGCGCTGACGAGTTTTAGCTCCCCCCGAACAATTTTCAAAACATATATCAAACCCTACAAAAAATCGTTTTGCTCTTGGTTTTTAGATGTTTAGTCCCTTCCTTCCAATTTACTGGCTTCTAGGCAACATCAGCTCTAGAATGAAGGGCGTCTGAAAAATAATCAAATAAGTAAACATAAGAATGCAGAAATAAACCGAAATCCAAAATACGAACTTGCATTTCGCTTTCGCTTTGTTTACATTCAATTTTGATTTCTCAACTTGGTGTACATTCTGTTTAATTTGGACGTGTTGCCCTGGAAAACTGCTAGATCGGTTACTACAAACGCCTTTAACCATGGGTACCAAAGCAGCATTTCAATAAATAGTGAAGGTTTACACTTGAGGAAGAATCAAACCACATGCATGGAAAAATTAGGTCTTTTATAGGAAATGCTGAAAGTTGGTTCTCAGCAACCTTAACAACGAACACTTCAACCAACGAATATCCTATGCTTTGGGCTTCGGGTATAGAAATGCATTTATATACAGATGCATCTAGCCAATGCCTCTAAAAGGACTAGGAAGCCTTGCTCACCAGACAGTTTTGGTATGTCATGCCAAATGATTTGATCAAGAACCTCGAGATTTTGCACTCATCAAGAGCTGGAGATTTCTCAAGAATATCATTACCAGTCTTTTGTGTATGGCAATTTTTGAAGATTTTCTCTTAACAAAAATAGCTACCTTTTGCTCCTGAATTGTATTTTGAACCTATCAAAGGCTTAAATATCAAGCACTCTGAACTGAGTTTGAAAATCAGATCGCATTGAAGGCGGTAATTACAAAAAAAGAAATCGTCCTCCGGAATCGAGCCTGTCTTTGCCAGATTTGCATCAACCAATTGCAGGGAGCTTATTTAAATGAAAGTCTGTTTTGTAAGTTTTCTCAACTATTGGTAAGAGAAACTTCTGTTATTCTACTTAGTTATTACATGTTCTGGAGACTTCACAGCACGTGCATACGATTCTAAAACTGGAAAGGTTAAAAGAGTGTTCAAAGGCCACACATCACCTATAAACGCTGCAGTGGTGAGTAGCTGCTTAAAATTATTCCCAATTTATAACCTTGTTCAAAACTATGTAATTTGATTTCTGGCGTCACAATCGCGTGATCACATAAGCTATAACGTAATCCAAAATCATAGGTGAAAGAGTATAATCCATTTTTTTTGACGAAAATAGTGCAACTTTCCTCTAACCCAAGCCCCCTTAGTTAAGGATTGGTGATTCTCAATGTTCCTCAACGTTTGTTTTAACTGTTATGTAATACCAGGACACCCAACATGAATTTCCAATGTCCATGATCGTGCAATTAGAAACGACTTTCATTCCCTTTTATGCTAAACAAATAAACATAGCATCATAAGCAATTATTGAACCAGATGTTGGGCAGAGCATAACACATTCAGGCACCTGCTCCTTTCAGCTAGTTTACAGGTCTGTGTCAATTTAACAGCTAAAGTATCATCGTGAGACGTTAATTTCTTGCTTTAGATCTGGCCCAAGGCCAGAACGGGGCTGGGGACTAAGCTCGGGGCTGGGGGCTAAATTGGAGGAAATTCTATTGTTGGTTCATATTTCATGCTACAGTGTGCATCTTTAGCCCCTCGGAAAGTTTCCTTCTGGTCTGGAGCTTGCTCTAGATGATAAAATCTCTACAACCCTTGAAAGAACAAACAGTCACCACAACACGTTTCTTAATACTTGCCAGTGAGCGTCTATAATGTACGTATGCTCTCAAGCTCGATATCTGACCTCAGGCTCCCCTGCCTAGCCTCACAATCAAAATACCAAAATACCTTGGTATATAAACTATCAAGCAACGACTTTTCTCCTCTTCATAGGCCAGCAAGGGAAGGTTGTACACAGCAGCGAATGACGGAAGCATCCGAATATGGGATGCAAGCAAGATCAGGGATGATGAGGATTTAGATGAAGAAGAAATAGAGAGTACAGAGAACAATAACTAAATAATTTAGCTAATTGCTCACAGCTACTATTATCTCGCAGCTGTACACTTGCACCCTTGAAAAAATAACAACAATAACAACATATATACGTTTTCAACAACTGTAGCTAGCCTCTTCCCTAAGGTCTATAATTCTGAATAGCCTGGGTCACGTATGGCACGTGCTTGCTTTTACTGCATTGCAATCTTATTGCAATCTTAAACCTAAATGTAGTAAAATTCATGTAAGAATCACGTTGTTTTACACTTCCCCTGGGATACTTTTGGAAAAAAATTCCTAATAATTTCTTGTACAGTGAGGCTTATCATGAATGTAGATTTACCACCAACGTTAAGAAAAGTAATTTTTAAACCTATTGCTGCTCTGATGTACATATATCTTTAATGACAGCGATTGTTGAAAGCTATTCTGAATGTTTAATGCACTGAAACATTTGATTTAGCTTTCCCCACATTTAATTTGTAATTGTCGTATCACAGAATGTCGTTTCAGTTTTAAAAAACAGAAGGTTTCTGAATACTATGTAGCCCACACATACAAGGAAGAAACGACAGAAGTAAAAACAAGCAAGGATGATTTATTATGAAAATTCGAGAGTCAACACAATTCCTCGCTAGTCTTTTTGAATTGATATGAGTTGACATTCACTCGACAAACCCATTTCCACAATAAAATTTATGTACAGGCCATCTTTGCCTTGTAATACATGGTTGTATACACAACATCTTCACCTTAATTCTGCAACTTATACGCTTTGCTTCCAATCCCTAGATTTGAAAATGCTATTGAAAGATTTGAGAATGCTAATTTCCCACTTAGGTAAACCCATTTGCTAAATTTCTTAAATTGTTTTATCTTTATCTTATCTTTCTTTATCTTATCATGAACGTTTTAATCTTGGTTTGAACGTTTTAAAATTTTTATGTTAGTTACTAATTCCACCAAAAGGATCGTCGATGATGTTAGGTAAAAAAAATAAAGAAGATTCTGTAAAAAGGAAAGAAGTTTCCAAATGCAAAAACCACCAATCAATTTATAGTTTGACGTGGTGAAGCAAATTATTTGGAAAAATTCATTAACGTGTTTTCTCTGGGCAACCAATACTCTAATAATTAATTCATATCCCTTTTCACAGAGTATTAGATTAATAATTAAATAGGTTAGAATTTTTTTGTAGTAAATTTCATTAGTTACTAATTTGTTGATGCATAAAAAGTCACAGGGAAATAAACACTTTTAAGCGCTGAAATGTTTCTTATAATAATTATATCTAAATGTTTATTTTGCAATCTCAAATTCCATAAGAGGCTTTGTTAAATAGATGAGCTGCATAGCCTCCTTTTGGAAAAATAATTATAACTAGTGGGGTTGAACACGTAAACATGTAGCTACATGATCCATAAAAGAGAAATAATCCTCAAAATGTTAACGACACGAGATTTTCTGTTGTTTAGTCTTGTTGCTATGAAAGCATCATCGATCTTTATTTCTTCAATATCATTTTTCGTTCGCAAGAAATCAATGTTTAAGTTCTTGTAATTAGAAGGTAAAAGCTTTCCTTCAAAAATGAAAAAAAAATTTTTGACATTATTTTATTGACCAGAAATAGTAATGAAAAAGCACACCATAATTCAATTATGTTGCATTCATCTGATTGTTACCAAACCTGGCGTGTAAGGAGAATTGGAAAATTAATTGTGAGTCATGGTAACTGTTTCGGCACCAGACTCCTTTTGCCGAAAAGAAATCTATAGTTGCTGAAACCCTAAACGCAAGAAATGGCGTGAAAATTTAGTGGAAATACTAGGTTCTTGATCAAATTAAATTTTAAAATTGTTTTACCTAAATTTGATACTTTTGAAATTATATTTCGATTGATGGAGTTTTACTGCAAAAGACCTGGTAACAAACCCGTTGCTATGTTAATAATATTGCATACGGTAATCTTCGACCATTATTATTATTATTATTATTATAAAATTATTTACAGTTGGTGCCATACATAGCTTAAAAAGCTAATTCATACCAACTATTTACATTTCTACAAAATTACAAAATTAAAGCATAATCAGAAGAGAGAAATAATAAAATTTTTTATTTTTTCAATCAACTTTTTTAGGATCTCACCATACCCACATTTTGGTTATTTGCATATTTGACAGTTACTTTTGAGAAAATGTACAAATGGGAAACCCTTCCGCGTTCTCGAAACAGCTGCTTTGTGGGTATTTTACGTAAAAAAATTAATTTGAGAAATTAAAACATCCCTCAAAGTTCATCAAGGTTCAAGATAAAAAGGAGAAAGCCCAGACAAAATCCTGGAGGAAATCCACATGTGACGTATTTTGTTTGACTGTTATTTCCGTGCCCATTAGAAGAAAACGGCAGTTTTGCTAATTTTTGTGTACATTAAACATTAAAGTCTAAAGAATATAAGTCATATCGAAAAAAAAATAAATTTTGGTTCTCTTGGAAAAGCAAATAAGACTGAAGAATAAAAAAATTCAGTTGATAAGCACATTATGTTAAGTTTTTCCACGGCAACTTTAGCTTGAATTTCAGTGTAAAGAAATATAATAATTTAGAACAAAATGGACTGTGCTGCACTAACACCTTCCTTTTTCTATGTAACCATTTCGTGAAGATATTTTCACCGTATTGCGAGCCTTACGGAAACTCTGTTCTTCTCTTAATTTCTAATTAAAATTGTTTTTCAAACTTAGTTTCTTGATAATAACATGTTTCTTTGGATCTCCAGCCTGATACTACCGTTAAAGAAAATTTGCTAGCATGATCAAGTACAGCCTGGGGGAACAAGCTGTGAATAATTACTATACACACTTTCCAATACTGCAGATTTACAAGAAAAACTCCTGTAGAGCCCACTACCAATTTCTGTAGCTAGCAATCACAATTTTCATACGCTTACGACAATAATCGCAGGTTGGCAGAGGTAAGAAAAAAATCATTTTTGTTCCATGAGTTCCAGCATCCTCTATGTCCATCTTTAGGTTGTTTGTGCAAAATTACTGTTGATATTTAAAGGTTGAGATTACTGTCTGTAGGGGCGATCAAACGGACTCATTCAATGGTACAAGATCTAAATCTACCATTAAATATGGCCACAGAATAGAAAATACGCAGAAGGTGAAATTCGGTCATTTCACGGGATGCGCGCGCGAATGAGCAGTGGCGGCTCTTGCTAATGGGCATCTGGGGCAATGCCCCCTCAAAAAGATTCAAAGGAAATTTATGATATTCATATTTAATTTTGAAGATAGTCTTACTGTGTTTAATTATATAAGTTTTTATCTCTTCTAGAAAAAGCTCCTTGCTATCCCGTCTCGTCCTTAGCCTCGCTTCTGGCCCGCTAGTGCCTTGAGCGATGATGTCATTTAACGGGCAAAGTTTTTTTTGCCCCTAGCCGACATGCGCACAAGCTAATTTTCGACCTCGAGCATCGCGAAACGCGGCCTGTGATTGGCTTATTTGGAGGAATTCGGGGCAAGAAAATTTTGCCCATGAAATGACATCATCGCTAAACAACAACCACATCTATATATGCTTTTTCTTCTGCGCTCCATGACGATCAACATCGAACCATGAATACAGTGAAAAATTTGCAAACTCTACCTTTCTATCGATTATCGCAATATTGATGGTCTGCCCTCCCAACTGTGAAAGTCACGAGCCGCCACTGCGAATGAGGCTGTGATTCAGATGGAGTTTAAATAAACTAGAACATTATCGATCGTACAGGAGCCAACCTACACGTTTGTGGAATAACCTCGTCGATAGATATGACTGGAACCTTAAAGGTAACCGATTTTACTATCCTACAGTGCTGCATTGATGAGACCGCAAAACCGGGCTAAGCGTTTAAAAGATAAGAATACAAACCTTTTTTAGTAATTTCAAAGTGGACGATAAAGTTTGTAATTAAAAATTTGAACAACAAATCATTGATTCGCCTCTACTTTTTTTTCCTCGCAGCAACTGAGGGAGACTGTCGCCATCCCTTACCCAAACCTCTGTATCAAAACGAGTTTATGGCGCAAGCTTCTTGTTTCTTCGTACTCTGACCACCTGAGGTTTGTGCACGCAAACTTCAAAGGTGCCGACCGAGAGTTCACCTTCTGCGTTTTCCCTATTCTGTGCTATGGCCTAGGCCTAAGGATATCCCGAAAAGCTATTAAAAAGCAATGACGCTAAAAAAGATAACGGATGCTACCAATCACAACAGAACTCTGAAAAATTACGAATGGTAATACGATCAAAGCAATGAAAAGAAAACGACGGGAAGCCAATCAGGAATATCAGGGGTGAACTACGATCAATGCAACAAAAAACATTCGATTTTGGCCATTCGTGCACACCAGTGACGCATCATCAGAAAATATAGAAAGATTAAAGACGTAAAGCTAACCACTTCAAGTTGGAGTAGGAGACCGGAGACCAGGCAACGTTGGAAACTATGCTCCAAAAAATATAATGAAATTGAGAAAAAAGACTTGTTATAAGCAGATTAAAGGAATGAATCAGATGGAAGCATTAAGTGTACTAGAATAACAGGCTAACAGTGTTTCCCCTCTAATGATTCATTTTTCAAACGAAAAATGTAATTAGTGTCAAACGAAAGTCATTTAGAGCACCAACATCACGTGAAAGATATGGTAGAAGACTACCTTTTTCGGTCATTTTTATAAAGAAGAGAAAGCGATATAATGAAATAGCATTATGTATGACAAATATACATAACAGTGGATCGCTATTGCATGGATTCGTGTTGAGATTCGTTCTGTTTTGTTATTGATCAACCAGTCTCCCGAATGGCTCATGTCATGTATTTTGAAACACGAAAGTCAACCGGCTAAGGATTGACTGGTTTTTTGGTTCCAAAGTCGGTTCTAAAAGTTCATATTGGTTCCAAAAGAAGAGCATTTTGAAAGGATGACTCAATGCCTAACCCTGTATCAGGTTCACGACTGGTGACCAAACTGTTTAAGATTCGAAATGTGTCATGTTTTGTTAGGATTAAGCAATGGGACGACCACTTATGACCCTCAGGTATATCCTTAAAAACACCAAGCATTAAGCCTTTTATAGTTCATATGTGTTATCTTGAAGTCGTGGAGCTGTGTAGCAGTTGATTAAAGGGAATGAGCAATGTACAGCATGGTCAATTGGCACTGCCTGCATTACGGTGCCAGGATTCCCATATATCCCTTGATCCCAAACTTTGACCAAAGGTGCACGCAAAATCTTTTTATAAAACAAACTAAGAGTCCGTTTATAAGAGCAAATTTATCCCACCTCTCAGCCCATAATCTGGCAGGTGGGATAAAATCTTCGAATGTTTACATGCAGATTCTATCCCACCTTCCAGCTGTATCTGAAGAAAATCATTTCACCTTTCAGCCTGTGTGCTGACAAAAGGGACGAAATTTTATCGCGTTTATGTGAACATTTCATCCCATGTTCCAGTTTTATCCCACCTTCCAGTGTTCATATGGAAAAAATTATTCCCACCTCAGTAAGATCCTACCTCTCATGCAGTGGAACCTCACTTAACCGTGCTGGCTTGTTTGCCATATAAACGCAAGACGAAAAACACAAAGGATTCTTTAGAAGAGTGCGATATCACCTCTCAGCTCACAGGCTGGAAGGTGGGATAATTTTCTCCATACAAACAGGCCCTAAAGCAAGAGCAGGCAATCAAAAACACCTACATGATAGCATAGTGGTTCGATCGTCCGACGACTTTTTACTTTAAGGAAAATATGATGCTAAATGCATGGCTGAAAATAAGCAATAAAGGCACTTCAAGAAAGCACCACCAATTCAAAGTCGATGACATAATCAGCCCCTCTTTCAGACAAAAATCTAAAAGCATTCACAAGCATAAACCCTCAAAGCTAGAAGTAAACCTAAAATGCTAAAATTTAATGAGTGTATGCTTAAATTCAATTCAAAAATTTCCCATATGATAACAAATTCTTAGATTTAGCTTTAAAAAAAATCCTTGATTTTTGCATACAACGGTTTCTCATCAAGGGTGTAAAAAGCCATATGTTTGACCTTCTGGTTGTTTTCAACGCAAGTGACCTCAATATGGACAGTCAAATCTCCTTCCAAAAGCTCCAAGTTAGATATCCTTACTACTTCCGAGCGTGGTTCAGGGCTGTTCTCTCCTCGAGGCCCGGAGCCTTTCTCGCCGTTTCCACCTTGCATAATATCAACCTTTGCGCCTCCAATCGAGGATGGAAGCAAAAATCTGATTGAGCAGTCGGTGTTTGAATAAATACGACTTTGGATAAGAAGCACATTAGAAAATTCAGCTGCGAAAATGAAATCAAGCTTTGCTACGTCGTTTCGAAAAACTGTCACCGGGCTGGGTGGTGTTTCATGCAAGATTCTCCAAAGTTTGAGTCGTCGTTCCACATCCAATTCTAAACTGGCAATTGGGGACACTGGGTCACAAAGGGAAATTGGCTCAACGAGAGTGCTATGACGGTAAACAACTTGTAGTCGACCTGTTGCTGGGTCAACAATTCGCTGCTTATGGATGCTATTGCTGACTTCGTATAAGAGCACATCGATCAGGAGGTTCTTATGTACCTGTGCGCAGAAGCTTTTTGCAAAGAAACCATTGGACATCATTGGAGATTCAAGCACCCGGCTATTTGAACAGCAGCCAAAACAAAGTACAACATTACCTTGAATGATCTGCAGACCTTGGCACATCTTTGGCAAGGGGTTTTCCAAATAAGAATTAGCGCTTGTTCTGCAGCAATCTAGCATTAACATGTTCAGCTTGCTCTTATGTCTCACCATGCTGGTAAGAACCTCTGAGGCGGAAAAATTCTCTGACGTTGAGAAGGCGGCAGTCGCATCAACTGGCATTAAAAAGCTTTCCCCGTGTACTTCAAAGCCATGACCAGCAAAGTAAAACAAGGCATAAACGTTCTCAGAGAGAAGTTGACAAAAAAAGGACACAGCATTTTTGAATTCACTGAGATTTAAGTCGGCCAACGAGACAACAGTAAAGCCAATGCTACTCAAAGCCCCTGCGATATCGCGCGTGTCATTAAGTGGGTGTACAATTTTCCCAAGATCCTTCTCGTGCACATAGTTTTGATTACCAACCAGTAGAGCTACTTTGCTGACTGGAAAGTCACCATGGATATTGTGGTACTGCAAAGAAGCAACCGAAGGCCTCCCACCCCTTACATTATAGCAATCAAGGGTTGGTTGGTGCTTTTTATCATCCACAGGGTTTACAAACGCAGCCAATGACATTGCAGTGCCATAGTTATTGCTTGCCACACAAGTGTATTTGCCAAAACTTAGCGGTTCTGCGGTTTCGATAATGTAATATTTCCCGGTGGCTTTAGGTATTTCCTGGTCGTTTAAATACCATTGAAAAACTGGTGCCGGGCTGCCAAACGCGTCACAAAATAATCGGAATTCTTCTCCGTGACGGCAAGAGACGGATCTGGGGTGAACTGTTATCAACGGAGCACAGTCTGACATGGCTGAAGGCTCTGGAATCGAATCAACCCGCGCCCAGTTAGTGAACACACAGCTATGCCTGTTTGAAATGCGGCAAATATAGTAGCCAACACTGCCTTTGTCAAGAGATACGATACGCAAAATAGGGGTGCTCACATTGGTAGGACTTTTATTATGAAACCACTGGAAACTCAAAGGACCTTCGCCACTTACTTGACATGACAACTCTACCTCCTGACCCACTATTCCTATGTGAGGTGCTGGGTGCTGTATAATGCGAATAATCCGGGAGGGTAGCTCATTGGAGGTGCTGAGTGAATGAGACCCCTGTAGCAAAGAAAGAGCATCACTTACGTTTAAGCCTTGTTCTGACAGTGCTTTTAAGAATCCGATCAAATCAGACACTGTTTTCCCTAGTCTTCCAAGATCTTTCAATAAAGCTTTGGTTGGACTGCCTTTAGCCTTTAGCACCGTCATCCCAAATCCTTCTACCTTCTGTGGCGAATACATGCTTTTTGGTAAAGCACTAATAATGCTCCTCCAGTTTGGCTTTTCATATCTGTCGAAAAGCTTGGCCAGTTTATCCAATAAACTATCTGCAATGGACGCTAAATTTTCTGAGTTTTCTGCCATCACTGTCCACTATCTATTGCTTTGCATCCTGTTAAAAAATGAGAAATTTGTCAAGTTCTGCAAACACAGTTTCGCAATGACAAAATAATGTTTGTTCAAGTGAGAAATTATGTATGAAGGAGTTTGGCGATGACAATGCAGACATTTCACCAAAGGAAGACAAGTCCTGCTTTCTCCAGAACATGGAGAACATGCAGACCACACAGACCACGAAGAACATGAAGAGCATGCGGAACACACATTCTCCCTATTAACAAATGGATACAATGCAGCTTATTCAAGAAACGTTGGCATCATGGTGTTTAACTCTTCTTCTCCTGCTTAGCAAAGCCCTTCAGATAGCTAGCGCATCAGCTAACAGGATACAAGCAATGGTTAATCTTTTTCGCATGCCGTGTCAAAATTTTATATAGCCACTGTCAGCAATCTACAATTTGCCCACAAATGGTAAAATTCAGCAAAGCTAGCATTTCTATAAGAATAATTACATATGATGCATGTTGAAACATTTTGCCACATATTTCCCAAACATGAAGAGTTTTAAAAATTGTTTCTCTCTGTATCTCTCTGTATATCGACAGGAGATAAGAGCACTAGTGCAGAAGATTTAAAAAAATTCCATGCCCATCATAGAAAACCATTATGAAAGAATACAAAAATTGCCGTTTAATTTCTATGTTCTCTAGCATGCCCCTAAGAAAGATAAAAAACTGTAACTAATTAACAACATGATGTGCCCTGGATACAGAATATGATGTGCCTCTTGGGGATCTTCCAACTAAAAATGTTTGTCTTATTAAAAAACCAAGAAGGTTGGCAAGGAAGGAAGATAGTGGAAAAAGTATGTTCAGTTTCATATGCCCAGTTCTCTGCTTGTTGTCATTGTTTTCTGAAGAAAGCTTTTGAAAGCTTTTGCTTAAATTGCTTATTTGCTTATTATGGAAGGCTGAAAACTATTCTTGTCTCTAGAGTGCAGATGTTCCCACCAGAATAATTAGAGCAGTAGCAGAAAAGAGAAGGGAAATAGAACTTCTGATTTTTTTACAAAAAATCAACTCAATAGGTCAGATTCTTTCAGAAACAGGAATTAAAGAACAAATTTTAGACAAATTAACAGTTTGCTTTGATAAACTGAATTACATTGGATTTCATCATAACTCGGGTTTCATGGCTAAAGCATTTTCTGGTAGCAAGGGTATTGCATGCTTCATTAAATATATATTGCTCTTGAGACCATGGAAAATGCTATTTTTGTTAGTTCCTTCCAAATCAAGAATCACACTCTGCTTTAATGCGAGGCGTATATTGATATAAATAGGGCAGGCCTGATTCAAACAGGGTACAAAGAGTATAGCTGTAGTACACACATTTATCTAAATGTTGTCTTGCGCAGACAAATTTTACACAATTCTGGTAACAAGCGGCAGAACTCAAAACAAAAACTCTGAGTATGCAACCAGAAAATATCTGCCCACAAAAAAACATCAAATCCATGTATGTTGTCATGACCCATAAAGAGAATTTAGGTTTATTGTAATTACAAATGTTCCATTGCTGTTTTTTCTGTCTTTGCTATAAAATTCTATCTAATTTTGTACACACAATGTGTAATGCACATTGTGCAATGCATATACATGCGATGGGCTATATATGTTGTGCTTTATATAGATCAAAAAAATGGAAAACTACTCTGATAGGGTCAGGCTGGAAGACATGTATCATTTGACTACTTGCAGTTGCAAGGAACGGCACACTATCTGTTGCAACCTGCCAGGGAAGGCATTTGAGCGTGGAGTGATGATGCTTATATATACTTACCTGCACCACAATTGCCTGATTTGATTGATAATTGTAGGTCAGGTGCAAGCAAAAGAAATTCAACATAGCGGCAAACCTATGCAAGTCTTTCAGTCTGGGATTTGGGCAACCACCTGTTATCATTTCAAAACTATTTTTATAAGAAATAGAAAACTAAATTTTTATGGGAAATAAAAAAATTGCAAAACAGCAAAATTATTCTTAGTTGTTTATATTCATTTAAATGTAAATGTTATGAGAAATAAGGTTTTAATGACATTTAGGTTAAAATTTTGACTTGAATAAACCATTAATAATGAATGAAAATGGTTTTCCAAAAGAAAATAAAAAGAAGGTGGTTAGTGGATATATGTAGGTAAGGTAACTTGAACTTCTCTTGTCTACAGCAGTTCTAAGGGTGGTCAACAGAATCGCTAGCAATATATATTTGTTCTCTGCGAAGACTCTCTTCTTTCTTTGTCAGCTAATAAAACATTTTGAAATGTTTAGAACATCGAAGTCTACAAACAACCTTTCAAATTATTTGAAAATAGTCAATTAACTATTGGTTATCCATCTGTATAACATACAAATTATAAAAACATAATAAACAAAGGGCCTAATTTGTTGACAAATAGAGTTACTTTAAATTGCTCATTTGCTTTCCGTTAGTTTAGCAATAAAATAAAAGTAAAGAGCTTACATTAAAACACTTACACAGTTACATGAATTTGCCACAGATTCATTGGCCGTATTATGTGCTGCGAAACCAATACTTCTCCACTTACGAAACCCTGTTTCTCATCACAGCCATTAATAAGAAGGAAATGAAACTTGCACCAGATGTCCATAGATTTTCTGCGGACCAGCCAAGTCTGCATTTTTTCAAATGGAAAAAGGCCGGGCCGTAAATCTCGGGGGATGGGGATGGGACGGGAAGGGGTGGGGATGGGACGGGAAGGGGGGGATGGGACGGAGGGGTGGAGATGGGACGGGGAGGGGCGGGGATGAGACGAGGAGAGGCGGGGATGAGACGAGGAGAGGCGGGGATGAGACGAGGAGAGGAACCCCTAAAAAATCTGAAGTAAAACGATTTTGTTTAAGAAATTATCGTCATTTCTTTAAAGAAAAAGAATTTATGGTAACTGGGTCAGAATTAAATTTTTTCCCTCGTTATTTCAACAAACTTTAGCCCCTTATCATAGTGTCTGTGGATGGACCTTATTTAGGTGAGCAGAGTGATGTGAGCCTTATTTAGGTGATGTCAACTAGGGGCAGTTGCCCCTCCCTTAACGAGTTGAGGCAAGTCTGGTGCCCCTTTTTAGGAAATTGTGCGCCCTTTTTGAAGAATTAGAATCAGGTGAAAAACTTTTTGAGACTGGTAGGTTAGTTTGCTTCAAGGATACCTCAAAGTTATGTTGTTTATTCCGAAAATGGATCTGAAATTATTGTATACAGCATACTCTCGTCACCAATTTTTGAAAATTCTTCAGCGCCCCCACTACCAACTTCAGCGCCCTGGACACACCCACATTACACGAATATTTATTACACGATTTTTCGTTCTATAAGATTTAAATTCCTGTTAAAGGAGCACCCTTATAAAGAATCCAGAAAGGTTAAAAAGACTGTTACATAAAGCCTGGCTACGATAATATAGATGTCATTTTCTGTCTAAGCTGTGATCAGTGCCGTGGAGAGGTTTTCGGAGGCCTCGTGCTATGTTTTACTAATTGCTTTCCCAAACTGAAAACCTCGAGGGCCCCCTAAACCTCAATACCCAAGGCCAATTCGCCCGAATTCGCCATCGCCACCAGCTTTCGGTAACCCTGGTTGTGGTATTGTTTTTTGGTGTCTACACAAGCAGACCGAATAGAAACATTTTAGATTATGGCCCCAAAATTTAACCCCTTTGCTCATTTTGTATTGCACCCAAGCAAATCAAGGACACCTTTTGGTTATGCAGTTGACAATAACATCAACTCGGCAAGCAGCAAAGGGGTGGGTCACCTGAATTTTGGAAAAAATGGGGGGCACGTACCTACTGTGCTTCCTGTTCCCACGCCTCTACTTGAATTTAAGACATCTTAAATGTCTCGACTGATAAATCGAGAAAATTACGAGCCGCCATTGGTAGCAATCTGAAATCTCTTCAACATGATCATGAAGGTTAAAGAGAACTCATGAACGAACATTTTTTTGTGATCATGAAGGTCGTGATCATGAAGGTCAAATTGCTTGGCAAATCGATTTTCAGTTCTCATCAAAATGGAAAATATTGACATTTCTTCTTGCAAATAGGTATCAAGAGATATTTGAAACCTAGATTTCATTAGCATTCAAAACATTGATATTAATTGATATTGCTTGAAAATCAATTTCATGAAAAGTGAACTTTGTTGCCCATGTACTGCCCCCACACCACTAGGGCAACGGGGACGGCTGCCCTTGCTGCCCCCGTGGCTCCAGCGCACTTGATATCAAACCTGATCAAAGAAATCAGAGTAGCAAACTTGATAACGGAGAAGTTTTTTCACTTCCACCCTATGGAGACAATATAGTATTTCTTTTGGAAAGGGGGAAATAAAGTGCACCGGACTTTGATTTTCGGTCACTGGCATATCCGTATAGTGACATTCAGGAGAGCGATATTAGCAAAGGCGACAACCCAAAGGCTCTCCTGAAATAGCTTTGCAGACAGGAGCACTACAAATAGGTAGCACAGGTTATGGCCTGGATTCTGGTGTGCAAGCCACATTCAGCAGATTGTGAGAGATTGGTCTCGGTTTATAGTAACCTCAAGACAAGCGCCAGAAGCCGGCTTCTATGAAAAACAATAAGTAACTATTTATATGTCAACATGAATATGCATGCCTTGACCATGTTTGACCCACGATCTGCTGTACACTGTTTTCTGCATAACCGAAATCGTAGAGTAAGGGAAACAGCAAAGACAGATCAACAAGCGTGGTTTCGCAAAGTATTTGAAGGTGAAAGTGAGACCCAAGACGAAGAAATGAACTAGAAAAAACTATTGCAAAGTAGACATTTTTAGTGACAGAAGAGATGCTATATTCTACACAAACTTTTGTTTACTTTTGTTTGCAGATATGTAAGCATTAAATATTACAATAGAAATATTTGAGAGAGTAATGTTCAATCAAATCTACAATAACATCAGTGTTAAACTGTTCCCTTTGCTTGAGGATTCAGAAAAGCTTATAGCACACAACACACTCTATTACGACTTATTGAAGGTCTGAAAAAGCGCCTGGATAAAAAAGATGTGGCTGGTGCAGTGCTTATGGATTTATCAAAAGCATTTGAATGTTTACCCCACATACTTCTACTAGCCAAATTGAAATCTTATGGCTTCAGCGACAACGCAATGGAATTTATGTGTAGTTATCTAGATAAAAGAGTACAACGAGTAAAAATAAACTCAGATTTTAGTGATTGGATGGAAGCAAGAAATGGGTTCCTCAAGGATCAATCTTAGGCTCGTTGCTTTTGAATATTTACATAAACGATATTTTTCTGCATTTGAGCAAAAACAACTTATGCAACTATGCAGCTAATAATACAATTTGGCTGTCAAGTACGTATATGAACGAATCAAATGACGACTTACTTAATAAATGGTTTTACGAAAAATGTTGGTGCTCAATGGCGATAAAAGCAAGCTTATAACATTTAAAGCCAATCGATCCAATTTAGAGGAATCTATATTTCAAATAAATGGTTCTACTATAATAGAAAGTAAGAATGTTTAACTTTTGGGGGTAACACTAGACCATCAACGTAGATTAGAAGAACATATTAAAGTTTTTTTGTAAAGAAGCCGGGAAAAAGGTAGACACCAGCCAGGATTGCTTCGTATATGGACGAATCTAAGCGAATTCTTTTAATGAAAACGTTCATTTTATCATATTTTAATTATTGTCCACTTATTTGGATGTTTTGCAGTAGGAAAAGTAATAGCCGGATAAACAGGATTCATGAAAGAGCAATGAGAATAGCTCATGATGATTATGAATCAACTTTTAAACAACCTTTAATAAAGAATAAAGCAATAACTTCACATAAGAAAAACTTACAATATCTTGCGATAAAAATTTACAAAAATTTTAACGGTTTGAATCCACCATTTATGGATGAGATATTTTCCATAAATGAATGCCCAATTACTTAATAAACTCTCAATTCAAAACAGTGGAGCCACATTACAAAATACATGGATTTAATACCGTATCATACAGATGTAGCCAAATATGGAACTCAGTTCCAAACGAGATAAAGTACTCCCCTACTTTACAAATATTAAAGAAAAAAATCTCAGAATTTACTTCGTCTAATTGTACTTGTAATCTTTGCAAGGAATACGTTAGCAACATCGGCTATGTTTGATTTACATTATATTTAGCGTTGGTAATTTATATCAGTTGGTTTTAATTAGCTCGAGTATGCATAGCTAAAAAGGGTACCAACTTTAAATAAAGAAAGAAAAAAAATAAAGTTTTGTAAGTTTATTCTGGGGGTATGCTTAATGCTTGTTTTCTGAGGAGAGTCTTGACAGCTTACTTTCGGAATATGAATCAGCGGTATAACATTGGTAATTGAAACATGAAGAATGATATAATGTTTGTTTGTTTGTTTGTTTGAATGTTTGGCTATTATATAGCGTAGAAATTACCAATGAAACCTAAAAGCAAGCACTGATGCATCTACTTGAAATATCATTTCACAAAGGGGTGCGCAAACTCGTGCTGATTTGGCTACGTTTCGCCACGTCGTATGACTAGCATATGGATTTTCGAACATTGAGAAGAGCGTTTGGGATTAACAGTATGTTACTTTTAATTTTTAGTTGGTTTAAGTTGAGTTCCACTCGTAGCTTGATTTTATAATCTCATTTGATTCTCTATTATAGTGTGTATTCATTTGTCTTCATTCTGAAAACACTCAAATCAGTTGTATTTGGAGTGCTTTAAACTGAAAAGTGAAGAAATTCATCACTGCACAATTTTGATTCATCACTGCACAAATTGGTCATCACTGCACCTTGAATTAATCCTTGAAGGTTGGCCCCCTAGCTAATTTTCCTTGGAAAAGGCAATGTAGACGTTTAAGAAAAAATTCCTTTCCGCGCTGAAATGCTCATCTTCCGATGATAATAGGCTTGCTTACGAAGAAATTTTAAGGAGAGGGGGTTTAGGACCTTTGTTGTAAAGGGCTACCAGTTACGGGCAAGGGATGATTCCTTCCTGGCGTCTCTGGCCGTCCAGTGCCCTTCTTTGGGGTCCAGGTCGAGGTGAGGCCCCTAAGTACGCGGATTTTTGTATGTTCGAGATAAAAATTTCCTTCAAATTTTGCATGGATTTCAGATGATATTTAAAAAATACAGGCTGGAGCATTTTACCAGACTTGAAAAATTTTGGGGTATTTTTGCTTATCCCATTTTAAATCACGATATTTTTAAGACAAAAAAAACGACCGGTTAAAGATTAACACACTTCCTTTTGCCATAGAGGCTAATGAGGTGAAAATAAATTCATATGACACGTTTAACTGCAAAATAGCAGCCTTTGTGGCGCTATCAATAATCAACCTAACTTATAAAGGCTAAAAACCCATAATTTAGGAACTTCGAACAGCAGAGCCTGCAGACGACGAAGTTAACGGTCTTTTTCGTTTCATCGAAAGACAATATCATCATAACCAAGATAAAACAACAGAATTGTATTATTTTATCTTGCTATAATGTATATTAGTTTATTGAACATTATATACATTAAAATCTCGCAGAAATGTTGTGGTTTTCAATCAATGCGATCGGCTTATTGGTAAAAACAGAAGTCGCAAAGTGACTGCCCTTCCAACGTCTCATTATTCTCCCTTTTCTCCGTCATGAACAATTACATATACACATGGGTTCCAATCCCACACCTGACACCATAAACAAGCTACAGTTCAGTCGTGTGTGAACTCCCTCTCGCTTGGAACATTACACACAGGACCTTGAATGTTGAAATCAACGAAATGAAAACAAAGCATCATATCCTAAGGTTGCAGCGCGTAAAAATATTCTGTAAAAATAAGTGTAGCCCGGAATGGCGTAATCTAATTTTTCACTCCGCACAAACTTCAAACACAAAGCTCTTAGTAAAAGAGTTTGCATCGAACGACCCCTCTTCCCTTACCTAGGACCCCGAATGGTGGGAGGTTATTCGTTATAACTGAACATGGAAAATAATCTAATGCAACGGTGTACGAGTGAAGAGGTAGGCTTCTTGAGTACCAAATTTTCGGCGATATCTCCCTCACCCATCCAGCAGAAGTTATCAAAAGCGGCCATGTCCTGATTCCATAGCTTTAGAAGCCGTTGTGGGGCACTAATAACAGTCAAGGTTTTTATGAAACTTTAAGTGCTCTATGTGGCTATTTGGAATATTACTGTAAACGATTTTTTCTATAAGGAGCCATTTTATAAGGAACCTACATGTAGAAGGCCAAAATATTTAAAGAACTTATACTACTAATAACGAAATCCCTAAGGAACTTTTCAATCTGAAAAAATGTTTATAACTGCAAGCATCAAGAACTAAAAAGCCGGTTCCATTCATTTGTAGCCAATGCTCGCAAATATTGTTTGCTATTCGTGTGTCAAGTGCTTCATTAAGTAGCTGCCGCATATGCTGTCTCGCCCCTCTCTCTACTACAGGGGCGGATCCAGAGCAAATTCGAAGGAGAGGCAGTTGGTAGTGGGAGCGCTGAAAATTTTTCAAAAATTGGTGACGAGAATACGCTGTATACAACAATTTCAGATCCATTTTCGAAATAAACAACATAACTTTGAGGTAATTCTTGAAGAAAATTAACCTATTGGTCTCAGAAACTTTTTCACCCGATTCTCAGTTTTCAAAAGGGGCGCGCAATTTCCAAAAAAGGGCACCAAACTTGCTTCAACTCGTTGAGGGAGGGGCAACTGCCCCTAGTTGCCCCCCCCCCCTTAAATCCGCCACTGCTCTACTAAGTGTTAAGTCTTATTGTAGCCAAAACACCGAAAGTGAGATTTTCACTATACATAGCCTTCTTTGTGATTTTGCTCCTGAGTTTTAGCCACAAGTATAGGCAAAATTCAAAAATTTTATGTTTTTCCCGTTTCTGTACGATTTTTGTGGCACTTGATGTGCAGTGAAAATTAAGGAACTACTAAGAAACTTTTGGTACTACAATTTGATGATTTGAGGTCTATGAATAAGGAACTTTTGAAACCTGGCCTTGAGCTAGGCTCCTTATAAAAATGCGTGTATATCAACTGCTTTGGAGCCAACAATGCAAAAGTTAAAACTGATTGTTTTTAAGTATAAAAATGTGAATAATCAAATACTTTAAAAAATGCATTTGCCCTGGTGATATATACATTTCAGCAAATATCTGTATTTTATGCTACAGTTCATATAAACATCTACCGATAATTGAAAAAGTTAAACTTTAGGTTAACGAAGAAATTGCAATATCAATTAATCTAAAAACGATAGTTAAACTCATATTAAGGACTAGAGCCCTTTATACTTCTGCAATATTTTCTGGCTGTTCAATATACTTCCGGAAACTAGAAATTTCAGAAATTCTACCTTACATTGTTGACATAGAAAGCTTTCTATACTGTGGAACGGGGGAGTAGTCACGAGACGAGCGAAAGGGGAAAAAGTGACCATCAATGTACAACTGAAATAGGAAAAAATATGTTATTACGGAAAAAAGAACTCAAGGGTCCCCTCACATGAACACAGCTTTGGGCAATTCAAAATTACATGTCTCCTGGTTGGAGCAGATACACAATAAACAGGAACATTGGGCGTATTGCTAGATCGTGCAGACTCTTTTTCTAATAAGGAAATTTTTGCCGTGGCTCAATGATCTTATTTTCTGGAAAAATTTCTAACTAAAGATTGCTTAATATTGTTCTTATTTCAACTTTGATTTTTCATTAACTACAAGTATAAATTGTTTCAAACGACTTTTAAGACCAGTAAATAACAGCTTGGCATGGTAAATTTAGTTGCACTGTTGATTAACTGAAAAAAATCAGCTCTTGTTTGTTAATATGTGTGTAAATTTTCTAAAACACATTGTTTTTTCCTCTCAATCTTCTATCAAAGTCTTGGCATGTTCTTTTATTGTTTTTCCATTTTCACAATTCGAGTCACAGCTTTCTTATGAAATATTTTTTATAAAAAAGAGCGCCTTTTCAGGTACATGGGTAGCAAAGAAAAATATTTGAACAATTTTTTTGCGATACAGAATTTGAAAATGGCTTTGAAAAAAGCAAAAATTTTACGACATACTAAAAGCTTTTTCGTCTGACACTCCTCAGAGCAAAAAACGTCAGAATAAGGTTCCGAAAGAACACGATGGAAAAATATTTGAAAAACACAATTACTTCATAACTGCTTAAGAACTGGGCGAATTATGGGGATATTACTAAAATCCTTATGGACGTCAGAAGCATTTTCAAAGTTGAAGAGGTACACGTAAAAATGGGCAGCATGTCAGGGAAAAGGAGCCCCTTTTTCAAAGAGACAACTTCTAAAAAAGCGTAATATTTCAAGAAGTTGGGGACGTGAACTCCAGGTTACAACGTCCCTTATTGAGGCATTCATCCTTACGCTAAAATCCTCTTTACCAGCTGATTTATCTTGCAAGTGCGTTCTGCCAAAATTTTATCAATATCCAATTTATCTATTCTGATAATAAATTTTCGACCACGACTCTACAAGTAAGATTCCTGAAATCGTAGAGGAATGTCAACATGAACAAGATAACGAAAACCAGTAAAGTCCATTCTGCAACCGGAGCTACAGAGTAGCCAGATCTATTATAATGGCTAAGTGAGGGTACCAAAAACACCCCAAACATAAGAAGGCTGATAAAAACCCCAACAGACAACATAGCTCGTATTATGACCACCATACATGCTTGTTTCTTTCTTGGCTCGCTTGGCAAATGTTTATGACTAATCCATGTCTGTATTATCATATACAAAAATGTTGATGCAAATTGGAGGAAAGCCCCAAGGTAGTGGACGGTTTCTTGGCTGGACAACTGAAATGAAGCAACCAGCAACTCTCCAAAGATCGATAGTAGGCCGATGATGAAACAAAAAAAGTTCAGTTTACTCCCTGTGTACCGATATAAAATTTCCACTTGAATGTATCGTACTATGATAAGCCACAATCCAAACAGTGCACTTACGCTTAACCCAAAGGTAAACACACTGCTATAAGGTTTGTGGTTCCCAATGTCACTAATGTAAGGAACGTCAGTATTGTTCCTGAGAATAAGACCGTCGTCCGCATGGAAAAATGCAGCCAGCAGAAATAAAGCTGGCAAAACACTTGCTCCTATGGGCAACATAATAATCAAAACATTGCCACTCTTCCATCGCCTTTTAAAACCACTTTCAAATACAATTCCGTCTAGCTTCAAAGCGCTTTCGTGCCTTGGCCTATTCTCCGCTTCATTGTGGATAACTGCAAGTTGATTTCCTACGACATACCTTTCGTGTCCTCTGTTATTGTCTGGCTGTTTTAAGTCCATATTCACGTTCCATGTTTGTTTAGGCATAGTATACTGGTTTGTAAAAAAGAATTTTTCTGTTACAGCGATATCTGCCTCCCGATCTCGCCCACATCCTTTCCCACAATGGTCGATCTTATACTTTCTGACAATCATTGTTGGTATGCGATGGTGGAATGCTACAAATAAGTCGAAGCACTTTCCCCCTCGTTGGTTTCAGAATCCCAAAGGCAATTTTGCTCATGGCTTGGCAGTCCAGAAGGTAGAGCCATTTGCGACGGGGGACAATAACGGACTTTGCTTTTCCACTTTATTATTCTTTAACAATCTAGAAACCACAGCCATTAAAACAACGCATATCATTTTGGTTTTTATAACGATTTGCGGAATCATACCTTAACAACCAACATCGCTTTTGGGGCTTTCAATTACTCTTTCATATTATTATCGCAAAATCCGAAAAGAAAAATTTTACTACTTTTATTGCAAGTAAAATTTTGCCAGCAAATTTTTCTGCAACGCTTACATTCCTTTTACATCCTAACATTGAACAACCATGAGATATCAATCATTTTCTGATCTGTCAGTTGGAATTGTGAAAAATCCACGCAGAATTATTTTGAAAAATATAAAAGCTATTGGTGCTTTTGTGAATGTGAAACACGATACACTTATTTCTTTATACATTCTTATAAATTTTGCCCAGCCTCGATGTCGTAAAAAATTCGTTGAAACGAAACCAAGCCCCCCAATAGAAACCACCCTTTTTGCAAACACGAGTTATGTCAGTTCTTTGACTCCCTGTTATGAATACAGCAAAGCACGTAATTGCTGAAAACTGAGACTCAAATATGCGAGCTTTGGCTGAGCAATGTTCTTATAAAATTCTTGAAAATTTGATGATTCTGAGCCCGAACACTCTTCTAAACGAAATTTTTCTATTAAAAATAGTAGCGCTTTGTATTCCCGAGCTCCCGAGTAGCGCTTAAAAACCACCAGTGCAAAAGGGTTTTCCCAGTGTATTTAGAGGGAATACCCATCTAGTGTTGTAAATTTCCCTCAAAGAGATAGGTGAAAGGCGTATTAAAGCTGGATCAAAGTTTGGAAGATTAGCAAAATCTTGAGCCCCCGGGAAAATTTAGTTGTTTACAAAGCTGTTTATAATCAAGCTTTTCCATAGTAACTAAACAATAGACAACGAAAATAGTATTGTTAACAGGGAGATCACATTGAGTCATAATATCTCTATGCATTGAGTACGCTATAGATATCATATCAGCAAACACAATAGGCATTTCTAGGAAATCCTGAAAACAATCCATTGTAAAGAGCCTGGGTACAAGCATGGGCCATGGAATCCGTCGAAACGCTATTTCTCAGAACGTTTTGATAAATTTCATACGAAGAACTTTCGCAAACATTCGCAAACATTCAAATTTTAAAAACAGACTGAATAAGGATAAAAAATCGATGTACATAATCATATCACTTATCATTTTGTTGCCATAGCTCAATTAAACTTTACTTCATTGTCCTGTAAAAGATGTAAACACATTGCTCTGTCAATTTTTTTCCTAAGTGACCATGGCATAGTTCCTCAAAATGAACAGAATGCAGTTCTATAGCAGACTGAAGAAAGGTTTTCGGAATTCATCTGTTAGCAACAAGGCCTTTTCGAAGGGAAATCAGCTGGGGATATGTCTTGGTTAATATAAGGGGATTATAAAAGCATATGGTTTAAAACAATGGAGGGTCACTGGGGCTGGAGGGGCAACTATCCCCTAGCTATTATGGTAAAAAGACAGTTTTATTCAACTCTTGTTCATAAAAAGATATCGATGAAATAATTGATATTTTTGGTCGCCGTCGTGGAAGAGATTCGTATTACTTCTGATGAAAACTCGAAAGCTATTTAGAAGCATGTAATGTTTTTCAAAATGCTAGCTAGTTAGCCTCATTTTAATGACTTTGCCAATCATTTCTTGTCTAATATTAGAAGTTTACATGTGCTAATATTATGCTCCGTAAAGATTTGGACATTAGTATCCTTCGGGTGAAAAAATTAAAGCCCCTCCCCCCCTATCTGAAGTCTACCCGTACGCACATGGCGTTAAGAGGCGTTTTCGTGAGGATTTTGAAGCAAAGAAACAAAAGTCTTTCTTTTGATCGTATTCTTGAAGAACGATTTTCTTTTTCGTTGCTCCCATAACATCATAAACAATTTTAATCATCCTTTAGTTCGATCCAGCTTTGATGCAGCTTTGATGCAGTTTCATGCGCCAAACAGGTTAGAAATACTTTTAACGACGCCATTTCCTTCAAATCAATGGTTTTTCTTGCACTTTTCCCAGGTACATTGTTGTCCTTAAGAGCTATGAAAACAAGCAAACCCGACCAAGATTCTTGAAGAAGAAACGCTGCAGTTAGCGAGTTTGTATTGCCGTTTAGAGCATGATATCGATAACAACACGGGATGACATTAGCTTGGCTTTGTCGAGTGGCTGGAAGCATTTGTTTGCTGGTATTAACAGATCAGCTCGGTTATGCTGCATAAATCTTTGATTTTAACAACTCAAACATCAATAGCCAGAGTACTCTGCAGGTTCTTTTATTTCTTTGAAAGAAGCCCAGGTTACTCAAACATGATGACAAAACAGACATTTTCTTTTCTAACGATTTTTGCTGCAAGAACAACTGAACACGTTGAAAACAGTGGCCAACTGTCTCTTGAGATTTAGTATTTCATTCTTCAACAATTCTGTCCCTTGATTAATCATTTGATCAGCATATAGGCCTAAAGCGCTCCCGAAAGTGCCTTTTTCCTTGCAGTATGGCCATGACATCAACAAGACGGTCAAGAAATGAGCTGAAGTCACTCCATTCAACATCGAACAGTTATCAGAAGGTGGTGCAAAGTCTGGTGGAAGAGACACAATACCAATCTTGGAGAGATTACTGAATTTTCCAGCATTCAAATTGTTCTCTAGCGTTTTGTAAAGTTCTGTTGACTCAATGTCGTTGAGTAGTTGGCAGACAGCACAGACGTGGTTACGAGAGACTTCATCACATTTCATGTCGATTGAGTTGTCAAAACACAACAATCCTCTGTAAGAAAGAGTCAGTACATTTTCAATGCATGGAAGGAAATAATTAATAAGAGCTTGTTTAAGGGGGGGGGGGGTTAAGTTTTGGGGAAATTTAACTGCGAACTGACATTTTCAAAGACCATTCTCAAATACATTATAACACAAAACCAATACAATCAAGGGAACACGCTTTTCAAAATCAAGTATGAAATAATCGAATATTTGAAAATGAAATAAAAGGAGACCATGCAAAAAATGCAGTAAAAAACAGCCAACCCAGAGAAGGTGCTTTGGACTAAAGGAAAAGGGTGCCAGAAAAAAGAGGAATCTACAATCTTTGCCATTTTAAATTCATTTGTATCCGGTAAAAACAAATAGATTCCCCAGGGAGAGAATAATCCAAAAGATATAATTTTGCTGAATAACGCCTTGGAACTTAAATGGAAAGGAAATGAGTGTGTCAAGAGATGCCTACTGTCCAGTGACGTAACGGACTAAAGTTACCTAAGCTAAGGAGCCCCAACCTTCGCTGGTATTTTAGATGTGATAAACAGGTAAAAGGGGCCCCAAGACTGTATGACATACCATTTTGAAAGAAGAAATCCGTTGTTTAGCATTTTATGTTTTGTCTATATTGTTATACTAATGTTTACAACTGAGGGGCATCTAAATGAAGAATTCATAAGTGTCCCGGCTGCCTATGTTACGCCACTGGAAATGTCTCAATAAACTGCGAAGCTAACCTGGTAATGTCCCTAAAACCTGCAAAAGCCCACTGATTGCTTGTCCAAGAATCATCTTATTTTCTGCAAAGTCTGCAACCACACCTCGCTTTTCTGCCAAAAGCTCGTTCCATTTTCTGATGCACTCTCTGACCCCTTTTCCAACAAGGTCCCCCTGGGTAACGGCGAGAGCTGTCGAAATTCTGAACAACAAAAGAGGTAAACGCCCTTCCTGCTTTTGCAATAATATGTAACCTCTCGGTAACCCTATCAAGAGAAAGTAAATAAAGTATACCTCAATACAGAGATAAAAGTTGCTGTATAAAAGGGAAAACACCCTGTTTGATCTACACCAACTTTTTAATAAGAAACAAAGGTCAAGTTGGGTACTCCAGTTTCTTAACGTTTTGGGAAAATTCAATACTTATTGTTTCTTGAAAGTTTCTAAATATGGCGTTATTAAAACTTGTTGGGCAGGGTTTTTCTAGCTGCAAACAGTAAGACTCATTGATGTTTCAATTGTTTTCAAATGCTCATAACATTTCTGTCAAAGGATTTGCTTCCGTTCTAATGCCGTTCTTAGAATTCTGTGACTTAAATTGGGAAAGTGTGCTTCATTCTTCCTGTCTAATTTTTTTGCCAACTAGCCTATCATGTTGAGTGATTTCTTAAGAAATTTCTAAGTTCTGGAGTTTTCATAATTCAATTGTTTCTTATCAATTTATTATTATTAATTTTGTTTCTTGTATAACTGCCCAGGACTTGTTTCTTGTATTTCTCTTCCTTATATTACAACTATCATCATACACATACCATGAAAATTCATAAATTTGTGCCTAAATGTTTTATTCTTTATATAATAGTAAAGTAAGCAATTGAAATCTGTTATTTCCTTTCCATTTTTCATTTCTGCTCTTCTTTTTCCTTTTTTTCCTTTTCTATAAATTTTTTCCTTGGTTTAAGAAAAGCTTCCAGTAGAACAATAACTTTATCATTTTCATTGTTGAAATATTCATATATGCCATGGGAAAAATAAGAATTTCAAACTTCTCATACCTGTGCTCAAATCCAGTTCTCTCATTGCTTTCACCAGAAGTTTTAGTGAGACCCAGTGAGGGGGATACTTGAATCTTGCAACATCTAGTATCAATACCAAATCCTGACCAGGATGGTACCCAGCAATTGGTGAGAAATGCCCCTCACCAGTCTGCAAAAGTGTTGATCTTGAATATGATGCCACTATAAAACTATCATCTTGCTGAGTGCAAATTTTGACCAGTTCACGAAAATTCTCCTCTAACATGTCCTCATTCCCTCTCACTGCATCAGCCTTTAAGTAATTGCAGTGAGCTAGACAAACAAACTGGTCAAAGTTGATTCCTTTTTCTTTGACGTGATCAAGGGGCTCACAGCAGTCTAACATTTCTTCATGGTACCATCTCCAACAGCCCTTCCAAAGTTTACCTAGCATGTAAAAATTGCATTTTTGAATTGAAATTTCTTTGAGAAAAGATTGGAAAAAGTATTCTATTCTCTGAATGTAAAGTGACAACACAGGAATCAAAATGGTTGGTTAGGATTATTGCAAATCTGTCCATAACTATGACAATTATTTCTATTTTGTTGTTGACTTGTCATTACAGTTGGATATTTCAGAATTTTACTGTTTGATGTACATATGCATTGATAAAATATAGCACTGTTTTGACTGTAATTTTTACACTTCACTCAAGACACAATGCTTAGGAAGTTAGTATGAAAATTAGTCTAAAATGCCACTTCACAGAATGTAGGCTTAACTGTATATAAAAAACCAATCAGCAAATTGATGACAAGGAAAGTTATCATCAAAACAAAGGTATTCACAGCCATAATTAAGGAATTTTTTCCAAGTCATAGCAGATAAATAATGATTTGGAAAACAAACAAAAACAAAGTGAGCTGTATCTAGAGACTTTCAAAAAATAGTAAACAAAAACTTTAACTGACGAGAATCAATATTTTGTGGAATATAGAAAGATATCAAGCATTTTTATAAACACACCTTTAATACAACTAGTATAAGCTTTGAAGGAGAAAATTGTTGCAAATGCATAATCAACAGAATATAAACATATCCAGAGGAGCCTGAGCCCTTACCTTGTAATCACAAAATACTCTCATTTTCTAGGACTCAGAATGAAGGTATACACATACCTGGGTCAACTTCAAGAGAGTTAAGTACCATCACCAGTGTTGACAGGCCGCAGTAGGCTGGCTCATCTTGAGTGCGGAACTGTGCTGCCAACCTGAAATAACTTTGCATGTGACCAGAAACAAGAGCTTCCTTGAATATTTCTTTGCCCTTCTGTGAACAGAATGAAATGCATGTTTCTGGCAGTGGCCTTCTGTAAAACTGTTTTACTGACACATCAAAACTTCTTGGTACTGCCATTTTTGCACGGTCTCTTGGCTTAAGATACTCTATCTGTTCAATTATGCTTTCCTCTTCCAATGCTGAAAATTTTGCCAGCTTACCAAATCGAACATAAAACCTACGAAAAATTATTGGATTTCCTTCTTCAGCATAAAAAATTCGGATAGTATTAATGTTCTAGATGTGACGTCTAGACAATAAGGGCTGCAACATTGTGCTCTCAAGAATTACTGACACAAAAAATAGATGAGAATGCAGGGCTCCATTGATTTTATAAATTTGGCTTTACAGATCTCAAATATTTCCATTTTGGAAATCCTTTTTGCAATCATTTTAACTTTAACTATTTCAAATATTTGAGTTAGATTCCTAAATAATGGCAATATCATTCCTAACAAACGTACTGAGGGACATGGGTAGGAAAGGAACTTAAACTCTTTGAGACAGACATCAATCCTTTGATCTATGGGTCTTGAGTGCCTATTTGTAGTGAAACATTTCTCAACATTGCTGGTACTTTGGAAGAAAATACTAAATATTTACTGTACACGTAAAAGGGGCAACTTAAGACAAAGAGAAGGGTTTAGCCCAACGACAACCCCTACTTTCATCACTAGCCGATCAGTTTAATGAGCCCTACCTCAAAAGAGTTATTCGTATTTATTAATGTTTCTTTTCAAGGTTTTAATAAACCAAAGTTAACAATTTAGCCCCGCTCGATCTTATCTCAGTGAGACACATTGACAACGATAAACTTTGATTATCTAGGAAAACTTACAGGCAAAGCTTCGCAGATTGAAGTCAGGTACCAAGTATTTATTCACAGTGTTTTAGCTTGACGTTGCTAGACTTTGCTGAAAGGAAATTTCAGTGCTCTAACAGCATTAAGCCAACTTTATTGTTGTTCATTAACTTCCTCTTTGTTTTCTCTACTTTGTAAACCGCAATTTTCCTTCCAGTGAAGGCAGCCTCATTTTGGTTTAACTTTCGCGGGCCCGGATGCGAGAAAATGCGTTATTTGGCAAGATTTTAAAAGGAACTCACCTGTGAGATGGCATGTTGAAAATCGTCCTTTTCTGCGGAACAGAAAGTGCCAATTCCCTTTGCAGCCGTCCTTGCTGGCTTCTAATAATATATCTGAGATGGGAAAATGTGTATTTCACGAGTTGCTTGCTCATGTTTTGACGAAAAATAAAAACCAGTCGACTATTCATAACTATCAAATAGTCACCCAGTCAACGCCACAGCTCTCAGGTGGCTCGTATTCACGAGGATCTCGTGAAAACTTGGTCTGAAACCACCCACCAAACTACAGCAAATATGTTCAGCAGCTGTTTCAAAAGATATTCTTATAAATTGACAATTTAGTGTAGTTGTGGCGGCTTCAATATTTTCCATTTATCTGCATCGCATAAAATTATTTTCTTTTTGAACATCATAACTCGTGAGCCTACAGTTGATCAAACCAAAACCAGATCAGAATGACTTTTGAAGCACAATGTCCTTGGTTTGCAACCAACACACGCTCTCAATTTGTCTAGCCCTTGCATAAGCCTTGAAATGCTACAATTTGCAAACAAAAGTGTGGCTGGCCACCAATTATCTCTTTCTCGTTCTGATTTGAGGTGCAAAATCCTGTAGAAACGCCATTTTATAATCTTGCATTTGAAGCATAAGTTTTGTCCACAACAGCTTTGCGAACTGCGATAACTGCCATGTTGCAAATGATTCTTGTGGCGGTATTCACATTTAAGGGAGCTTGTGAGTAGAACCACCATAAATACTGAGGCATGCAAATGAGAAGAGATGCTTCACAAGCTCGAAACTTCCCTTTGGCGAAGTCTCAAAGACATTGAAACGATAAAGCCGAAATTACATTTTTCACCGGATGAGTAGTTCTGAGCAAATTCAAACGATCTGTGCTTAACCCAATTCACTGTAAGAGATAAGAAGCGCAACTTCGGCGGGGGTGTTGGGGGTGTAGACCCCTTATTAAAAAGGCTCAAAGCCTTTTTAATTGAAATGTTCAAGCATAGACTATGGTTCAAGATGCCCCTTCATGACAAAATGATTAAGTTTCCATTATAAATAGGATTGTATCAATGCTGCTACGTAGCTGCGTTGAATCATCCACAAAATGCTCATTCACTCAACGTACTTATTTGTTTCCATCTTTGGTCACAAATCCGAGTTCGTAATATAACTTATTGGCTTTGAGTCTGAGACATTCTCAATAACTATATTAACAATTCTGTGACTGTTCGAAAATTTCTATCTGAGATTTCCATCGTTCTGAAATTGGAATGCAAGTTGTAACTTACATGGATAAAAGAGAACGAGTCAAGGAGTCACGCCCATAAAGAAAGAAATTTTATAGCAACATGCTCGACACTCTTTTTATAAGACCACTAAATAGGGCACCGAGGCTTGATTTTTCAAAAAAAAACGACGTAAGAACATGACTAGGCTCTATTGCAATGCAAGAAGAAAAGACGATTTGTAAATTGTTTTTCATTGGTTATGGAGGAATCTTTGCTGCTCAAACTTCTGATTGATTAAGGTTCCTGACTGCAAGTCAAAGGGTCGTGGCTCGATTCCCAAACATGACAACCTTTCACTTAGAGTAAGGAGAGTCTCCCAGCCGTAGGAACCACGAGGTGTGGTCACATCGAAAGGAAGAAGGACCAAGAAACTGGTCGCTAAACACAGCTTTTCAGTGCTAGGTAGCCAATAAAAATGGAAACACTGCCGTTTGTTGGTTTTAGAAACCATTCATAATGTGTAAACAGGGCCTCCGACGAACCGAGTTTTTTTTCAAAATCTTATGTTATGGGTGTTAAATTTTCCCTTGGCCCCCCTCCCACTTTTCAACCTTTGTCGGAGCTCATGGTAAATGTAGCAAAATCAATGTTGAATTAAGAACAACATTAAGAACACCCAAACCTCGAATTATAAAAAAAGGTACTGGAGCATCGGAAAAATTAGAGCTCTACACTCTGAAAAAGGTCGCACAAAGATTGTGGAAAGAAAAGAGATCAATCTGCTGTGTTTACCCTTTTATTCGGTAGTTTTAGTTAGTTGTGATTTAGCTTTGATTGAACGATTAATATCAATCTTGAGTTCATGAAAGTGTTGTCTCTTTCAGATTTTAGGCCTTAGGGCAAAGGCGCGTGTCCCTCGACCCTTTCGTAAAACACGTACAAGTCACCTGCCCCTGATTTATTTATAATTGAATACATTATCCATGGCAAAGAGTGTGGACAATTGTGTGGACAATTGGGCAAGCATTGTCGTCTTCTCATTCAGGAATTTTAGAACCTGTTTACATAAAGGCAAAAGATCCTGATTTGTATAGAAAGAAAATTCGTTTCCTCTCACGGACTCTTCAACTAGATGAGTGGTTAGCGGTCTGATAAGTAAACAAAGAACCAATCAAACGTGTAATTCTTGCTCTCGAGCTACTTTCGAACCCACACCTGGATATGACTTTCCAGCTTACTTTATCCGACGTTTAAACACTTAAGAGTGTAGGACGAAACGTGCTTCAGTATGCTATATTTCTGCTAGTTAGTTACATCTTCAAATTTTGCGGTACCAAAAAAGTGGACAGCTGCTAGCTCTCTGTAATTGCATGCGTAAGAATCACGAGGTGTGGTTACATCAAAGAATGGAGTAGGACCCGCTTGATGAGCGCAGCTTCTCAGTATCCTGGAACTGTATCCTGAAACTACCTTCGAAAGCTAGGTAGCAACAAATACACAAAAAATACATTTTTCAACACGATATTTAGATTGGCTGAATAAGACGGTAGTTTTCAACATGGTACTTCCTCTACCCTTTTTCTATAAGGTACTTCATTAAATCATGATAATTACAGAGCGTCACGGTCAACTAATGCTTTAGCAAATTATATTATCCTTCTTTAAAAAGGCTTGAAACACGAGTGTCCCTCTAATTCAATATCTTTGTGAACCAAATTGGCTTTCAGTTTCACGAAGGCAAACGGACAGCGGACCACACTTTTGCACAGAAATTTTTTTTTGACAATGCATTTAAAAACCATATGAAAGAGGTATACCAAATATTCATAGACTTTGGACAGGCATAAAACCCAATTGATAGAGACAATCTGCTTCTCAAACAAGAGGAGAATAACATTCAAGACCTATTTGGCAAGAATATAAGGAAGATATTTGAACAGACAAGCTATTACATAACAACCATAGGAAGGTTCTTTTAACCAGCTCTGTGAAACTGGCCTCAGATAAGAGTACGTTTTGGGCCCATTACTCTTCATTGTCTACTTTGATGGCATGAAATATATATTAACTAGACCCACTTGATGACCTAATCGTTCCGTCAAGCACATCTGAAGATTTACAAACTCATTTAAACCAATGCTATTAACATTGACAAATGAAAAGCATCATTTCCAATGCGCAAGAAAGCCTGTAACAGATTTAAGACTGCAGGCAAAGACTTTAAATCAACACAACAACATCGTTACGTAGAGACAGACATATCAGCAAATGACAGCTTCATAGCTGCTTAAATAATTCTTGAAAAGAAGGGTTTTAAAGCCATCTACTCTATTGCTGACACCCATCTCAAATTGCACCAGAAACCAGGCAAAGCTAATTTAATATTATATCTACATGTTAGATGCTATGGCGAGGTTCTGCTGCAGAATCGCGACACTCACTCGTCAATCTGGCATACAACTGCAGATAAGAATGCTCCCTGAAGACATAATTATTATTCAAACTCAATAAATTTATGATGAATATTATTCAAAAGGAAACTTTAAAAGTCAATAGTGCAATAGAGTAAACAAAAATTCAAATGACAGCAAAAGAAACTCTAATTTACCAATGTATGAATTTTTCGAAAAGGACTTCCGAGCGAAGACTTACCTCAACCTCCCTCAATTCAAAGTCAAGAAGCATATAGCGAATCGATACTGGCAGACACCAAAAGCAGAATTATCAAAACGAAATTGCGACATGTGTGAGTCAGTTAATGTTGAAAGTGAAAAGAAATTCATTTTCTGAATGAATGAGACGCTCTTTTCAGTGCTAGCAGAGACACTTGTAGCACACACATTCAGCTGCGCATTTGTTACGAAAGGAAGGAAATTAGCTACACGAACGCCTTTCCCGCGATTTATCATGGAACCGCGTGTTTATTAATCAAGGTGGTGTTTTCATTATTCTTATAGCTTTCTAACAGCTCAATATAGGTCTGATTTTTAACACATTAAATGTTGGGAATTTCTCTTGTAATTGCCGCCTGTTTAATTGACTCAGAACGTTTGCACAAATACATTGTAATCAGGGACGGACTTACCAGGTGGTGTAGAGGCTGCGACACCCCCCAATATATTTGTGTTTTCGGTAAATCTTGCCTTATATTTGTGTTTTCGGTAAATTTTGCCTTGATTCAGTAAAAAGGATCTCATTCACCGGAAGGGTGTTGCACCAATATCCAAACATTATTTAGCAGCCCCTAACCCTTGTCGCTGATTGCACCATGGCATGCTCCTGTGCATGGCATGCATTAATCTGCTCCTGTTTGTAATAACAATTTTTTAAAGGCAGATAGCTAGAACACACTTGCTAATGGTTTTGCGAAATTAGTTTTTAAAGTGCGTGTATGTGTAAACCACATAATTTTTCTCATAAAATGATAAGATACGGAATGTTGTATTGATTGATGATTGCCTTACTTGCAACACACCTTATTGATTTGTTCGGGCTTTTTCAAAAATATTGTCATGCCAAAATATCGGCAAACAGAACAATTTCTCAGAATAAAGATTCTGAATGTGCGACAAGAAATCTTTCCCATTAACAATGACGTGCTAGGGATGAGATCGCAGGGGGGGGGGCAAAGAGTCAAAATGGTGCCCCTCATTTAGCTATCTTCAAATTTTTCTTCAAAGTTTTGGAAATGTGCAGAAAAGAACAAGAGCTCGGGAGCAAGTAGATCTATATCTATCTATCTTTGGCGTACTGAAGGACCTTCAAATGAGGGGGGATAGGGGTAATCATTTACTGAGAGGACGGTTTGCAAAATATTTTCCTGAAAAGAATTACCTGATATTCTTTAGTTGCTGACACCATCCTGCGCGGAATACATTGTGTCGATTTACAACAACTATCTGCATAATTATATCAGAACTTCCAACCCTTTAGATCTATATATCGGAACAAGCCCATGATATAACTGTACTGTCCGAGGCAGCATCATGGTTGCCGCCGAAGGAAAAAAACTTTCGAGTTTTGATGCTTCTAGTTTGCTGGAAAATGCATTTTTTGAAGCAATTTTCATTAATGCAAGATTTCTCTGAAACACATATTCACAGACTGTAAGCCATTCAATGGTTTAAATTGATTTTCTGGTACCATTTTTAAAAATTAGCTTATGCAACATGATTTACTTCAGATTAGGGCATAATCGCTGCGTTGTCTTCCTATCATTTCTTGCCATTTCAGTGAATCAAGTAAATCCTTGCACCCTCCCAATAACAGAGCCCGCGCCACGAATTTTAAGTGGGGGCCCAAGGCTAAAAATGTAGGGGGCCAAGGCTTCTTACCCCTTTTATCGCAGTTTTAAAGCTACTTGCTTCCCAGAAAAGTGGGAGGCCATGGCCACTCCGCCCCCCAGTGGCGTGGGCCCTGAATAATTGTATGAGATGGTGCCTAATCCAAACTTCTACGGCCAAGCTCAAAATTATCGGCGGTTTCCTCAAAAACTCACCGCAATCCCTACCTTGGTACGCCCCTGGTATCCACGTTCTGCAAAAAATCATTTATATATAGAGTGAGATCTTGAGATGTTATTTGATGATCGCATTAAAGTTCGTAAGAAAGAAGAGGTGGTATGTTGCAAGGTTTGTTGTAATTAGCGT